GCAGAGGAGACATTAGAGACAAGGAACATGTGTGTGGCTGAACATGTGTGTGTGTGAGTGTGTGTGCGTCTGTCTACATGTGTTGAAAACATGTTTTTTTGTGAGAGCGGGTGTGTGTGCGTCCCTGTTTGTCTGTGTGTGTGTGTTTGTGTGCTCAGTGATTGATGATCTGAAGCGCACACACATCTTCACCAAGGCATTTCGGAGGTGTGTGAGTCAGGAGCTGTCATCCCCCTCAGCTCCCCCAAGCAGAGGCCTCGGCGGCTGATTTATAGTAAATCATTCAAATCTGCTTATTTTGGCAGCAGCTCATTCCCATGCCCCCCCCCCCCCCCCCACCCCCCTCCCCTCAGTGCCCATAACAAGCCCCTCCCCTGACAAAATCTCCAACGCCACTGCAGAGACACACACAGATTGTCTGACCGGCTCAGCGACACTAACTCGCACACGCAGGGTGACACGCAGGTTCAGGCACATTAAATCCGTTTCTGACGCCCGTTTGAAAATAAATGCACCAGATGTCTTGTTTCATAAACATCGGCTGAAGAAGCCAATGAAATAATCTGGCCGTGTTCCTGGACAACAGCTGGAGCAGAGTGGAAGAATTACATCCACCAAAAAGGAAAAGAAAAAAGGGATAAAGAAACTTTTTTTATGGGCACTCAAGCTCCCATGTGCATTACCACACACACACACACACACACACACACACACACACACCTCTGCTGTCTTCTGTCTGTGAAACTTAAAATGTGATGTGACTTGAACACTGACAGGTGTGTTTGTCAAGGATGTGGCTGTCACTTCAAATCAATGGACGGGAGCATCTTCCGCAGGGCGGCTTTCCACTTCTTACTTTGACTGGTTACGCCGCGCTTGGCTGCCGGGTGGAGAACAGTAAGCCATCAAAGCGGCACTCATTCCCGCTCAGGTGTCGTCAGATCAACATAAAAAAGTAGTTCATTTCAGACTCCAGTTCGTTAGAAATTGAGATTCCACAGGCCGTTTTTTATACTGACTCATGTGGTGAAAAAGAAAATCATTATCGGGGCGTCTATCCATCCAGAGATCGTTAGCATGAACAAATCCATGAGAATCGCTGTCCTGGAGACGTACTATTCAAGCAAGTTGCGCGGGGGCCCAAAATGAAACAGTGATAATAATTTCCTCCGAGTAACCCAGCTGAGAATCGCAGCTTGTCTATTGTCACTTTGCGGTGCGTGGTTTGTCAAATGCTTTTCGATTACAGCCTTTAACTTCAGGCGCCATCCCATCGCCATGAAGTGATTTTAATGGAGTTTGGTGCGATTGTTTGTAATGTGAGACAGGTCTTTTCTAGCAGATGGAGCGAGACTACAGCGACAGAGAGAGAAGGCTCGAAACTCAAATGAACTTTGAGGCGATAACACGACGCGAGCGGCCCGAGGCCTCGCGTTTACTCACTTCCTGCGACCGTTGACCTGAACGTGTGTATTGTACGACGTGTGTGAGGCCCCGTTACTCTCCTCCGTCAAAACACTGGTTGCCGGCATCGGGTGTGGCAGACACAGCCTGATTGCTATTTGCCACACGCCCAATAAAGTCTGTCCTGCCCTACTTTCCATCCCTCCCACCCTCTCTCTCTCTCTCCCTGACAGGTACAGTTTAACAACCTCCTCTCCGTTCTGTCTCTAAAGCTCCTGGATCTGCGGGCGACGGCCCCGCAGGCCCCCGGATGCTGAAATTGGGGGGTGGGGGGAGAGAAAGAGAGGCGAGCCGGCACACATGCAGAATTACAACACCTCCATTTCTCACACTGACATAATCCCCGTGTTTTATTTGTCCCCTTGTTATATATCTTTCTATATCTCGGGGCTTATGTTCTTGGAGTAACATTCATCGCGGCCCGGGACACGGGGCTCTCTATACAGGGCCCGTATGTGTGTGCCTTGCTCCAGTTAACGCATATTAGTTCCTTTGTAACTGTGACTAAACTGGCACATGTCGGCCGGGAGGACGCACAGGCTTTGACTGACAGCCCGTGTCTGGATCCTGCACTGTGAGTCTCGGCGCAGACTTGTCGAACACGGGACCCTGTCGTGGCATCCCTCACTCCGCTGTCAGGCGGTGAGCTGCAGGGGTTCACAGCTCCGACCATATGTGTGTGTGTGCGTGTGTGTGTGTGTGTGTGTGTGTGTGTGTGTGTGTGTGTGTGTGTGTGTGTGTGTGTGTGTGTGTGTGTGCAGTACAAAGAACGAATGTTATCACACACTCCGCTCTTGTGTTGTTTTAACCAAAGCTGGGTCTCAGAAGCATGTTGCTGGCATGAATCCCTCTTTTCCTTAGTGGAGAAAATTGCACGGGAGAAAAACTAAGTGAAACATTTGTCACGTTCCCGTTTTTGGCCAGATTGCCTGTGAGAGGAGAGGGGGAAAAAAAAGGAGAGACTTGTATACTCTCATTAGATCAGTCACTAAAATTACACCGAGAAAGCTTTTCCAATAACAGCTTGATATTAAGACTTCAGCGCTGTGTTGATGTATGTTGCCGGCTTTGAAAATCTGTTAAGTCTGTGCCATGTGATGCCAACAGTCTTAAATATTGTTTTCACAACTGTGCAAGCTAATTACCTTTAATTTTTCATCTGTGCTCCGAGGGTTGTAAGAGACTGTGATTAGTGATTCATTACTTCTCATTACCTGGCCTGTCAAACTGTTTCCTTTACTTATTCAGGCTGATTAGCTGTACATGGCCCGCCTCTCTCATTCAGGTTGGGAAAGAGACCTCATACACGGTCTTCAGATAAGCAAGTTTAAATAGTAATGACGACGAGAGGGATAACGATCAGGAGTACAAAGATCAGGAACATAAAAATAAAAAACAAAAGATCGTCATTTTCATGAATGAATGAAAAAGAAGGGAAAGTGTGAGCATTGTACAGAAAGGCCGTATCTAAAACACACACCATCAGAAATACTGTGAGATGGCATGTCTGCCTTCCCTCTAGAGAAGGGTTATTTATAGGTGTCTGAGAATGGGGATTGATTTACTGCAGGTAAACAGGATGTCATTCCCCCTGCAAAAAGGTCAAGGTCAGCCAAAGCTCCGCTGGATATAACAGAGGAATTCGGCATCTGTGTACTTCACTTATCTGTCAAGCCAATCAGGCTTTGGACGCATGACAGCACCTGATAACACGCAAACTGACTTTATAGATAAACCGATGACACAATGAGTCCTTGAGTTCAAAAGGTAAAGCAACACCGGGAGCGCCGAGAACAAGACAAGCCCTTACGGAGCAGCGACACAGAGTATGACATTGACTACGGTTGCGAGGCGTTAACTGAAACATTCATCAGCGTTAGGAGTAATTAACAAACTTCCCCCGCATTAATTAAGGGCCCCTGCTTTAAGGGAAACTGCGCTTAATTAGGAGGTCTGACAGGATGAGGCCTTAGGGATGATCCATATCCAGAGGGCTGCTGGAGGGGCGCAAGTGACACAATCCTTCTCCCCAACGCTGGGAATTTTTCTGGAGCATTTCTTGCAATCGCCACAAAAACTCTTGTGCCCTTGGTCAACTCACGGGCTGGTCTGGCCCGGCCTGATCTGGCTTGGCACGGCTCTGAAAAGCTATTGACAGGTATGACAGGTCTCCGATTAGCCAGTCAGCTGGAGGCCCGGACCTCGCCACCTGTCAGGTGGAGAGAGATGAAGGGTCGAGTGAGCAGGTGAGGAGGAGGATGGAGGCGGCAGGGAGAGAAGTTGAGGTGCGGGGGGGTGGGGGGTTGGGGGAGGGGGGGGGGGGAGCAGAGAACGGATCGTTGGCAGTAGTGGCGTGTGACGGCGTACACGCAAATGGAAGAAGCGGCAAACAAAACGGCATGTTTATCAGGCCTGAGTCACCCGCAGAAGTGTTTGTGAAGCAGTCCATTAGAAAGAAAAGAAACAACACAGAAGGTTTGTAGGGGGGGGGGGGGCAAAGTGCGCCCAAAGAATCCGTGATTGGATCGGGGATTAAGGGGCTTGGCGTGTCTCTGGAAGGGAAGAGACGAACGGACGGAGAGGAGGAAAGACGGGGAGACGGACAGGACGACGCAAAGGGGACAGTAAACGGATGTCAGGCTGCCCGGGCGGGCGGGCGGGGTGGGGGGGGGGGGGCGTGGGGGGGAGACAGAGTGGCAGAGTGGGTGGGCTTTGACAGACACATCTCACACGGGCTGACAGCTCCGTCAATAGCCCTAGGATGGCCACCCTGATTGACAGCTAGCAGGTGGCGCATGAATGGAGTTGTCAGGCCGACTGTCAGTCAAAGTCACGTCGCTGTGGCTACAAGGCCTCGGCTGAGCAGGCACACAGCTGCCCAAGGTGATCTCTGGGTGTGCGGGCGGGCTTTTGGCACAGGAGGCTGAGGCAGCTCAGATCATGCTAAAATTACCATAGATGGCAGCGGCAGACGACACGGTGGCCGTGTGGATTGGGCCTATTTCATCCCGGTGGGCAGATCCGGTACGTACATACACGCGCGGCTGGTTCCACTCGATTTACAAAAAAAAAAACGCAAGAAGAATTGAGTATTTGAATGTACTGTCAATGCATCTCAACTTTTTTTTCTCCATTTCCTTGGTTCCCCTTAATTGAGCATTGTTCCAGCACGAGGGCACGAAGCGCAGGAGTTAATGGGCAATAATTATATGTGAGAGAAGCTTTCTCCCTGGAGAGGAATGCAGAACAAATGGAAGCTCCGATGTGCAACATTCTACTTCATTACATCTGCCGCGATTAAAGCCCGAACATCTGGCCCCGTATCCTGACAGATAGACAAGACTTTTGGACTGGAAGGGAAATCGAGCGATATTTACAAAAATGTAACACAGGATATTTACTGGATGAAAGAACAGGCGCTTTGGGCCGGCATGGTACATTCTCCCTATTGGACAAGTGTTGAACTGATAGATGGCGTGTAAACACAAGTGAATCACTTCAATTCTGACAAAATAAACGGCACTAAACAGCCTCGCTACACTTTCACATCACAACGGACTTTATTATCATTATTCTTATTATTATAGGCAGCTCATTTGCTACAGATAAATACGTACTGTGGCTCTTCAAGTAAACACTGGAATGTACATCAAGGTTGGTCGTTGACTCTTTTTTTTTTTCTTCCTTTTTTTACAATTTCAATCATTCTAACCCCTCTCGGGGCGAAGCTAAAACAATAATCATGGCTGTCTGGTATCTGCCGTTGCCGTGACGGCGTTAAATCCCACAGAGCGGCGTCCCGCCGGCGCAGTGGTCTCGTCCCGGCGCGAGGTTCTCCCCCCGCGTGGCGATCTGGGGCGATCTGGGGGCCCTGTGGGGCGCGTGCGAGCGCCGCAGGCGGCGGTCGGGGTAGAGGCTGTTGTCGAAGGGCTGGCGGTGGACGCAGAGGACGTGGGTCTTCAAGTTGCCCTTCTGGGTGGCGCTGTAGGGGCAGTACCTGCACTGGAACGGCTTCCGGGCTGGAAGAGATCAATGAGAGAACGGACTCAGGACACTGTGGAGTTCAAGCCTTCGTCCCAGCCGGTCAAATAGAAACAGTTTTGTGGAAAAAGAAATGATATGTTTGCGATTCTGGATATTAAATGTAATTTTTGACAGGTCAACAGGGAGTTAAACTTTCACTGAGCCTCTGAAACGGGAAGAAAAGAAAGCCAATGTGCGCTCAAACAAGTCCCGTATTAGTGGGCAAAGAGTCACTTTGCTTTGGTAGAAACAAAATAACAGTCTAAAAATGTGTTCTCATCATAACAACTTGCTCTTTCTAACACTGCGACACTTCATGGGCTGACATGTTTTCATAAAAAGGGCCAGCGAGTTCTAATTCATTGTAGCATATTTCCTGCTCACGACACACACGCACTCACAGGCGCACGCACGCACACAGACAAATAAACACGCGCACAAGTGTTGAGTTGAGGAATGACAGACGTCTGCAGCTGGGAGGCCAGGCGTGCCAAAACTTCCCGTCCGTCCCCCTCTTAAGCGCCCGCAACGTAACTCGGCTACAAAACAAGTGGGTGAATCTACGCGACGAAGCACGGAGTGCACCTCCAACGTACGGACAACGCAGCGCGCCCGCTAATGGCTTCCAGACGTTCACGTGACCTCAATGAGACCAAAAAACAGTATGGCACCGAAGCCCCAAGGTGGAGCTGAGATCAAAACCAAAACTGTGCTGGGTGACTCATTTAACTTTCTACCTCGACAAGCACGTGTCCTTGTTCGCCGTGGTGCTATTTCTGAGATGTTACTTCATTTAATGACTTTCTCCCCCCCCCCCTCTCCGTCTAACACTTTAATGTGTTTCCCTGTGATTCATGGTTACAGTAAACCATTACGTGCTGATGTCATTTAACATCACTTCCCAAAAACTGAGGGCTGTCTCAGCCTTTTCACCCCGCCTTCACCTCTTCCCTCTCTATCATGGTCCTCACCAGAGCCGGAGACAGCTGCCCGAAAAAAACTCGCTCTTACATCTACATAGAAAAAGGTGTTTCTGCGGCGGAAAAGTGGGGAAACTCACAGACGGCGCGAGCAATGAAAGGTAATGCTCCATCTGTTGGTGTATAATAACCTGATGGCCGTAAAGGACACACACACACACACACACACACACACGGGCATTTACACGGCAGTCAGAGAGAGGATAAGGCCTGACACATCTGCATATCATTAGGATGGCACAGAGGGTGTGTGTGTGTGTGTGTGTGTGTGCGGGTGTTTGTGTGTAGGAGTAGTCGTTTTGATGCAGGAAGCCTGAGAGAGAACAATTGTAAAAGGAGAGCTTTGTCAAACTCCAGGTACAGAGCGGCTTGTGGCGTTAAACTCCACGGTTTGTGGGAAGAAATCCTAATTATTAAAATTGCTGTCATGAATAGAAGCATTTAGCAAAAACAAAACCCCCACTTTTGCAAACGTTACACATCGGCCATAAACGACGAGACTGAACAGATTTGCCCCAATCTTGTTAAAATCTCGTAAATTCACTCGGACCTTGTGAACAGCCGTGTAGCCCATTACACTCTCATAACGTCAGTTAACAATGAGCCAAAAGGTCTCGCGTTTGCATCAGCCGCTTGTTGCCCCCCCGTCCTCCTCCTCCTCCTCCTCCTCCTCGCCTTTCTTTCTCTTCTCCCCCCCCATCGCCTCCCTGGGTCTGCTGTTCCTTCTTCCCTCCCCACCGGAGGAGAGGGGAGGTCCAAGAGAGGGCAACCTCCAAATAAGTTCCATTAATCACAGGTCCGCAGTCTAATGTAACTAATATTTTACAATTAGAGGAGACAGCAGTGGGCCCGGAGCCATCCATCTCTTCACCACATGATCCTCCATTCATGCGCCGATCGAGCCGCAGCTTCAGCCCAGCCGCACACACGAAAACCAATACACACACACACACACACACACACACATGCGCGGATGTATACTGGACAGGAAATGAGAGGGGTGGAATTGTTTCGTATTGACAGAAATAGTGAAGTAAGAGGAACGGAATGAGTGATGACTGACTTTGACTGCATAACACTGACATTGGACCGTGTCTGGTTTATTACAACTCGGGTGTTGTGTAATTTTGGCCATTATTCGTGTCTGTTATGATAATATTATACTCACCAGAGTTTTTGCTGAGATCTGGGAACACGGCAACGTCACTATAACGAAGTCAGACAAGAAACACGGGCAGTCAGACAGTCAGATTACAGATGGTAAACAAGCTAACAGCACAGCCAGATTACCGAAGGAGAAGCACAGGAAACTTGCACAACTACAGCACGTATGCAAGGTCAAAGATTAGCCGGGAAGTCATTAACTGTGACAAATGTTTACAATAGACAGTTTGCTTTGTAATTCTATCGTTTACCTCAGTCTGTCAAAAACATGAGCCGCCCTCAGGAGGTTTTTCTAAGGAACCGTTTGACCACTTGTGTTTCTTGCCTCCTCAGACCTCTTCAAAAGCACGGTGTGTCGTTTCCCTTCTCAAGTTCAAATGTAACAAAGGAGCTACATATATATATATATATATATATATATATAAATATGTTGTTTTTACCGAGCCAAATAGGTGTCCTGTTTTCAGTATTTATGCCAGCTGTGGTATCCTTCTCATGGCTGTAGCTTTATAATTAATGTACAAATATCATGGCGGCGTCTTCTTACTGCACTAAGCAAGAAAACTAAAAATGTTGAACTTTTCCTTCATGTTCAAGTTCGTAGCCTTCTATTGCCATGAATGTGACTGACCTCAGAATATCGTGGTACCAAAACAAATGTAGCGCAGTAGCAGTCGCGTTATCTAAAAATCTGAGGTTTTAATGAATTCCGGACCGTTTCAGTAAATTGAAGGGAGAAATAAAAATAGATCACAGTAGCTATTACATAATCAAATAGAACGTTTGTGATTTGGTTAAAGACGTAGTTCCGGTATGCAGTGGTTTTGGGGAATTTAGCTGTCAGAAGAAAACAAATGCGATCTTCTTCTTCGGTCTTCAGCAGTATCAAACAACTCCATTGTTGAGTTTTTATGTGATCAAATAACATAATCATGATCCCATTGGCATCCGGACGTTGAGCTAAACTGGCCCACAGCCTTTGAAAACCTTTGCTTTAAAGATATTTACGGATTGCAAATGTTTTATGCCAAGTTCTTGCATGGGTTGTGTCTCATATTTAACATTTGCAAACTTTCTTTTGTGTCAGAGAAAGCTGTCAAAACCAATCTCAGTGGTGTGGAAACTTAAATATTACATAAAATGTAATACCATACGTCGGGTGCATATTAGCGTTAGTTCGTAAACATGTATTTGTTCGCACCTGTACGCATGAATAGCGTGTGTGTTTGTGTGTGTGTGTGTGTGTGTGTGCGCGCGCGGGGTGAGAGTGGGGTTGTGTGTCACGGGCCGAGATAATGACCATGATGACAGTGGTGGGGCCGACGGGGGCCAGAGGAGCTGAATGGTGACGGATGACGCAGGCCTGAGCTCTGATGGCACACAGACAGTGAGTGATGACTGCACATCCTTCCCAGTGCTCCACCCTTCATTATCTCTGTGGGGAGAAGCGCGGCACAAAAGGCAGGCCGCGCTGCCCTCTCGCTGCCCTCAAACGACATCTGCTCGCGGAGACAGCCGCACTACCGCTCCTCTTTCACCTCGCTGTCGCTCCATCTATCTCCATCTATGGTGATCTTTCTCGCTGCTTTTCTCTCTCCTTCTTCTCTCGCTCTCTGTCACCCTCTCCGCGGAGGGTATGCAGAGGTCAGACAATGAGATAATGACTCACCCCTTTCAACCTTTCAAATCAGGGGCTTTTCTTCCCCTCTGTCCTCTGTTGTGTGTTCATTTTTAATCCTTTCTTTATCGATCTTCTCATATTCTCTTGTTCTCATGCGCCTGAGAGGCCTGTTTTGATGTCGCAGAAGACACAGCCGCTGCAGTTTACCGGTTAGCTGGTTTAAAGTCGGAGGAACCTTTAGGCGCCGTCGGCGTCACATGACTGTGTTGTCAAAAAAAAATCCTTTTCCTAATTATGCCTGTGAAAAATGAAAGCATGCCATGGTACCTGCTACAAGACATCTCGACGGTTCGCCACAGCTTAACTGTTAGGGTGGTAAACGCTGCCACCTAGTGGTTCGATCGAAGCAGCGCAGCGATGAGTCTTTCTGTTTGACACCCAAGGGAGGTTCTCAGCGAGACTAATGAGCATGCAGACAGGTTCAACCAGAGGTCACCATCTGGCCAATTACCACTGCTGGCACATTGGAGCCGACCTGAACTGTCATCACAAACACATCACTCCATGTCCAAACTGCCCGGCAATATGTCACCATGCCACTCGACGTGGCGTACAGTATGGAGAGGATGGGGGGGGCGGGCGGGGGGGCAACAGGAGACAGCCAAGTGACAGAGCCACCTGGTCAACACTGCAGACAGGACAGCCTGCCGGGCCACCTGCTTAGTTCAGTTTTAGAGGACACCCGATAGGCTCTCAATGTCAGTTACTCGTCTCAGTGTCCCCGGTTGACTGACAGGTGTTTATTGTGTCTATGACATCGTCCTCCTCGGAGAGAAAGACAAACGCGGAGGGTCAATCTGTAGCACGGTAACCCTGAGCAGGAAACAAATACGATCGACCAGATTGCTTCAAGACACAAGTGATGGTAAAAGAATACTGCGCCGTACACGAGGTAATAAACATGGTTTAAAAAGGAAGGAATTGAAATACGACGGCTCCAAACGCCCAGTTTTTCTAAATCCCCATCTTTCCTTTTGTAATTACTGTAATAACTTTATATGTGATAAAAGCCAGAAAGACACATGAACAGTGCAATGGCCATGACAGGAGTTGAAGGAGAGGGGACGATTTCGGCATATTATTATAACCATCTGTACAATCAAATAGAAAACCCCATATTGCTGTTAGATTCAAAAAGAAAGGGAACAGATGTTAATCCCGAATGGAGTAGACAGGCACTTTCCTGTCTTTCACATGAACATATTGAGTTTCTGAATAAGAGGGGGATCAGAGGGAAGGTGTATCATGTTGCACTCATAATACATGCATATCAAAGACCCCAGCTGTTGGATTCCCTCTCTTGAGAGACGGCATTATTAAATCTGCACTCAGTGAGCATATCGCACCAGCACAAGAGTTTAAGCCTCTCCATCAGTGGGCTTCCATTGGTTTGGGTGATTTGTAACCTATCACACACGAGGAGATTATATCATCCTTTAAAGTGTTGGGTAATCAGCGCCACACACCTGTGTCTTCTTTAGGCCTCACTTCAGATCAGAGATAGAAACTAAAAAAAAACTTTAAAAAAAGATGAAGTGCTATAAGCATGGAGGAGGTGTGTTGTTTGTAATTGCCTTGAATTATTCACACACTCACACACACTCTACACTTCCTCTGTCAGGTGATGATGAGGGCAATAGTGCCAAAAAACGTCTTTTTTTTATTTTTGGTAACAGTGTCCCAGGGGTCGACGATGCCATGTATGCTAGTCGGCCGCTTATATTTAGAATTATGTAAGCAAACTGTCATATTGTCACACGGCCATCTGCAGCGGCCTATCACATTCATATCGGTTGGTACAAAGCATCTAAGCAACGAGATGGAGAAGAAAAAAAAAGAGACTGGCTTGTGTCCACTAGGTGGCAGTAGATACCTTCCAACCCAAGGCCGACCCGGCTCCATCCGATAACAGTGACAGCTGCATCTAACACGCGTGACGAAGAAAGCTCACCTGATGCGACATCTTTGTCCACGTTGCCGCCGTCGGTCGGACTGGCGCTCGCCGGCGTGCCGCTCAGGTTCCCCTGGGATCTGAAGAAGGAGAGCAGGCCGCCCTGGTACTGGACTTGATCCGCCTGCCCTGGAGTCAAGTTCTCCAGAGAGGAGATGGGAGATTCGGCCACAGCTCTGCCCCAAAGTCTGGCCTTGTTGTGCTTCTTCTCCCCGGGACTCTGGAAATCGGCCTGCCTCGCCTCCTCTGGCTCCACGATGTTATTTTTCAGCACCTTCCACTTGGCATCCTTTTCGTCCGCCCTCGCTAGCTCTGCCTTCTCGAATTCACCTTCACCGCTGTGACCGCCGGAGCCGGCGCTCTGTCCCTTCACCTCTTCTCCTGTTCCCGGCGCCAGAAGGTCACAGTGATAACTTTGTGGCCCGCGGGGAACAGAGGAGGAGAGCCCGTTGCTGAAAACGCCGGACATCTGTACCAGCGCAGCCGGAGACATGCCTGAATGAGACGTGACCGACTCGGGCCTCACAGACAGATCTAAAGGCTCGTACTGGGACTTCCTGGTTTGGGCCGATAAGGAGCCCTCTCCACCTGCCTCTCGGTCGGCGAGGTCAGGCCGCTTGCCGGCGTTTTCGCCACGGCTCTCCAGACCGAGGTAGCGGACTGGGCTCCAGTCTTCCCTGGATCTGGGTCTGAGCCTGGGGTTGGGTTTGGGACTGGAGCTGCTGCTGCTGCTGCTGGTGGTGGTGGTGGGCTGCAGTGGAGAAGAAGGACCCCTGCTGCTTTGCCACTGGGGGAAGTGGTAGCGATCCAGATGGAAGGCGAGGGAGGCCGTCTGTGCAGCGGCGTAGTCACCGGAGAGCGGACACCTGTAGGCTTTCTCACCTAGCACAGACGACAGCAGCAGAGACACAACACAATCCAAATCAAATTAGGGAAACCGTGTATATGAGCCGCACTGAGCACCCAGTTCTGAGAAGAGTATGTACCAACAACCGTTGTCTAAACATGAAAAATGTTGCAATCCCACACCAGGCTGAGTTGAATGATTTAAGCGCTGCCCTGCAGTAAATCAAGCTTGTAATCAGCTTTCAGCTCCAGCGATCCATCATCTTACAGTATGGACGCCACCACCATGTGCAATAAATACACCCAAAGATGTTAACACCAAACAAGATTCTTCCAGAAATAATAAACAGTCAAATTCAAAGCAAGTAGAAGGAGGCAGATGTCGCAGACAAGAACCTCGTTCCATCAAAACCAGTAAGTGGGTTCCCCAAGTCCAACATGTGAGCAGTTCTGATTAACCGCGCCGTGCACTGTGGCTGAGTTTATTTTTTGCTTCATACTTGTGAAAAATTGTGTGTTGGAGCCATAATTCAAAAGGCACAAAGTGTATTATTGTGGAAAATGACAACGGGTGATTTTTCTCCTTTTAGCCGATGAAAAATATCCATCCGGAAACAAGATTTGATCCCGCTCACCATAACTTTTAATTAAAGGTAATTTAAATGCCTTCTTCCCTCTGTTTACCTGCAGTTTAATCATTACAGCCATCACAGGAGCTCCCTCCAGGGTTAAACACACTCCCTGTGACCATCCTGAGTTAGTGGTTGTCTGAGACCTCAGCCTTGCACTGTCTTTAAACAGCCCAGCTGTTTCGCTGCCATTCCAATTACAGTAAAAGTCATCCGACACCATTAAGCCACAAATATTGGCAGTTTATTGCCCAACACTCTCCTGGCATTTGAAGGTCAGGTCATACATTATACTGTGTCTTTTAGGGATGTGTCTGGGATCGGGAGATAAACCCGCCGCCGTTAATTTAATTCTATGCATAGTGATGCCTTATTGTTCTTCTTTAATGGACTAATATCTGAGTTACAACAGTGATTCCTCCCCGCCGGAGAAATATCAATTTCATACACCTCAAGAGCTGACCCTGAGGTAATTTTCTGAGGTAAATCCAAATCTAATGATCTGTGGTTGTTACTTCCCTTTTTTTGTGAGATGAATGGCGGTGAAATGAAGGCTGTTTTTGACTTTTCGACTTTCAAATGTTCAAATAAAGCCCACTTATTACGTAAGAAATCGCCGAACCTCATGACATTTCAAAATCACTGCTGAAATGTATCCCCGTAAAACTGAGGGCAGTCTCCCCCCCGTTTGCACTGTTTGTGTGTAAAGTGTGTGCAGTTGATTGTGCGCGCGCAGACGTGCGTGAGAGCGGGAAAGAGGCTTCAGCGATGCCACACCCATGTCTCCAGTAAGGAATAAAAAAAAAAAGATCCAAACAGCTTAATGGAACTCGTGTCAGACAAGCCGTTCATCTCAATTATTCTGTGGCTTAAATTACGATGACATTACCGGCCGGCTCAGAAAACACACATATCTGACCTCATCTTTCAGCGTGAAGCCTCCTAAAGCCATTTGCCCGCCTGCATGGGAGCAGTAAAACAGCACAAAGAAGGAAGACTCTGCCTATTTCTTCTCTTCCTTTGGACGGGTGCCATCTTTGTGATTGCCTGGTTCATGCTAACTTAATCAGTTTAAGATTTACTTACACTGCCGAGGCTCACATTATGTGAGGGGAGTAATTTTGGAGCTTAGATTTATCAACCAAAACTCCAATTACTGCGTCATTACAAACCCCAGCCTCTCTCACCTAACACAGAGCAACTAATGAAGTGATGCATATGAGCTATCTGCTCTTACTGGATGTGAAAGGCAGAGGAGAAAGGTGAATAAATAAGTAAATATTTCCTCAAGTGAGCCGTGTCTCTGGGAAGAAAAAAAAGCATTCAGCCGGGCTCGGACGAGCGATTCATTTCATATGGAAATAAGCTTTGCAGATTTACAACCATACATCACTGTCAGTGCAATCACCGGCTCACTATATGCTTACATAGGCATTTGTCAGTTATATTGTAGACATCAAACTCCACACACGGCATATAGGTTTGGGCTCTTTTTATAAATGCAATCAAGCACCTGAAATGCCAAGCTGAAATGCACGGTAGCTGGTTTGGTTTAAGATGAAACAGAGTGAGGGAGAGAGCGAGAGAGCGAGCAACACACAAGACTGGAGAGAGAAACAGGGGCACCAGATGTTCTTTGATGTTTATAATAGCATATATTATTAATATTAATTAGACCACATAGTCAATGACGCATTTGGGACGTTTCCAAGTCAATTAAGCCAAATGGCATTCAGGAGATGGTGGAACAATATTTCAAGGCAGGTGTTCAGAACTCCCTGGGTAAATCTTTTTATCTGCATGCTAGGAAAACAAGCATTCTGAGCTTAATTCGAGCCTCGTATCTGCAATAATAATTAAGAAGAGGATTAAAAGACAGAAGTGAGAGGGAGACAGAAAAGCCAACAGGTAATCAGTTTCGACAAACCAGTCAGGCTGGCTGTGATCTCCGAGCAAGGAGCTGGATTTGTTGAGCCAGACACGAGGGCTGAGTTGGATAAAGGACTTGTTTGGTTAAAAGATGCCGATAGTGTCTGGCACAAAGAATAGAGGGATGTAGCTGGAACGGCCAAAATGAAAAGTGACACAGCTTGCTTTATCCGCGCGTTTCTGGGTAAAGCGCTGCTGATATTTCCAGTCACGGCTTTGCAGCCGCGTGTCCTTTCTCAGCTGTAACTCCTGCAGTGAAAGAAGTGTTAAAAGCAGGGAATAAGAGACACGATGCATGTGGGGACAACATCATTACATGGCGTCTGCACATTGACCTAAGGGTTAAGAGTATTGAATGGGACTAATTAATAACTGTCAGACCATTTTATGTTTGTTAGGCATGTTTTCACTCTGGGCCGGGATCTAACTGGTCCAATGTAGGTCAGAGGCCTGAAGCGTGCAGCCTTCATTAGTTTATCATTTTAAGAAGAGTCGTTAGTCTTAATCTCAGATTATAATTAAAGTCAAGTGCATTTTCAAATCGGTCCTGGTGAGACACACGCCTTCTATCGAAATCAAAATGCAATTTCTAATTTGAGATGCCGGGGCGTCTTGCAGTTAAAAATCTAAATCCAGCACTGTATCTGAAATGTATCGAGCAGAGACGCCGTCTGTCACTCTGACAGCCATGACTGTACTATATTTGCTATCCATATTGAGAACATCAATAACTTCATGACCACCATAGGCTGACTATGAATAATGCATTCAGTAATTCTGGACTAATCAATGTTCCTCAAGCCGAACATCTGGCAGTGGTAATTCTTCCTCGGCATCTCTGCTCTCCTGAATTAGAAAACACTCACTCTCTCCCCCCCTCTTCCTCCACGACCAGCCATCGAGAGAGACAGACTTGATCAGTTGCAAACCCCCCCCCCCTCCACCTCCGAGAAAACTTATCCCTGTTATTAAACCCTCATCAAGTGGTGCGTGTTCTCCATATGTGTAGGATTTACCTATCTGTCCCGCAGCAGACCTGTGTGTTGAGCCGGGGCCAGCAGCGTGTGATTGTGTTAATTAATCTGTCATTGTGAGCGCAGGGAGCAGCTGCAGAGGTCTCTGGGATATATTGTCAGCGCTAAACAATGCGGTGCTAAGCCCCCAGAGTGAGTCTACCATTACACAAGACTAAGAACAGAGAGGAGAGGAGGAGAGGGGGAGCGAGAGCCTGCCGGATCCATCATTGACTAAAGCAATGACGCCTGACCTTTACAATGAATTAGTTTCCATGCTTAATATTGACTGAAATTAGAGTCTGATACTGAATGTGCATCCCAGAACTGTGTGCTCTCAAATCCTCAACTAGCCGGCTATCGTAAATGTTCCTGAAAGTGACACCGTATGGTCTTGGAGATAGGGGAGAAGAGGGGAAGTAAGAACAACAGAGCTTGAATATGTTGTCTTAAAGAGCAACCAGAGAGGGATTTGGCCATAAACGGCGAGCATTTACATGTAAATATGCAGATACCAGTATGTGTGCACAATATGGAGACAAAACATCTAATGAGATTAGACCTGATCCATTTATCTCTGCTATACGGCCATCATTTAAGAGGATGCTGGATCAAGTCCAACACGAGCGCGGCAGACTTGGACGTACATAACAGCAGCACTCCAGTGGAAAACAACCACAGCCGTAAGCTGATGAAGAAACAGAACAGAAGTTTGGGTTTATTTTTCTTCTCTTAACAACGCCGTTAGAGCAGTAATTTGGACTCACGATAACATGTTAGCACGATGCCATGACAAGAAAGACATTTACCCAGAGAGCCGAATCATCCAAATCACCAGGTGGAACAGAAGACTATCAATAAAAATACCAGGTGGTAGATCAAATCATAAAAATCACTGGGTGGTATATATCAAATCATTAAAAACACCAGATGGCATGCATTAACATCTTGTGCCCCCGTAGGCAAGGGGTGGGGATGTGACGGATATAAAATAGAGGGTACTAATTATCCCTACGATTCAACACGATGCCATTATCTTTTAAAGGAAGACAAAGTCTTTGCAGATGACAGTAATATCTGTGGCGGTGTCGCCTATCCTGCGCTTCATGTCCGCGCACACCAAGTGAGAAGAAAGATGAGGCCACAGCTGTCACTTTGCTACTCTTCTTCCCACGTAGGCAAGGTGATGAGATGCCAAGATTTGATCCTTTGTCGTGATATTGTAAGCTGATTTAATTAGACTTCTTAATAAGGTCCATCGTCTCAACGGAAACACCTGACAAAGAGTAATTATGTGTGTGGACACAGATTAGACTATTCTAAACATATAGTAAACCTTAACTTCCATCCAGGGGGGGGGGAAGCTTTAATCCTTTTCTTAAAGGAAAAAGTTCTAAAAATTCAAGATTTAAAACTAAAAATGAATTTAAAAAAATGTTGAAAATTGAAGCAGCAGAGGAGGAGACGTGTGGGGTTTCAGCTCCGGAAACACAGGATCCGACAGCTCCCATAATGCAACGGATGATGTCAAAGCACATAAATATGCTACCTCGACATTTATCAAAATCTGTAAAAAAAAAAAAAAAATGGCTTCCAATTACTGAATTACCTGTAACTGGAGAAGAAGATTGAGGTCGGGGATCGAGGCCGCTGCCGGAGTGGGAGCTCGCTGTCTCCGGGGGGATCTCCTTCGGCCCGTGGCGACTCGCGCCGCCCGGGCTACCGGGCCTGCTGATGGCCTGAGAGTCCGGGTGGCTGTCGTCTGCAGGGAGACATCTCTCGGGCAGGTAGGAGGAGCTCTGCTGCTGGTCATTAAGACCGAACATTTGCTGTTCAACAGACAGCCCCGGTGTCATGATCTGCCAGCCTGGATAGCTGCTGCTGCCGCCGTTGAGTGCATCTCTGTTAGACATGACCTTCTGCAGGTAGTCCATGCCGGTGGAGCTCAGCGGAGGGTGGAGATGATTTAAGCCCAGTAAGGTGGAGCTCTCTGCATCCGTCAAAGGTCCCGGACCTGAGGAAATCATCCTCCCTAACATCTCCCGGACCGTCATGTCGACACCAGCAGTGGCGAGCAGTCGGTTGTAGTCGTGATGCTCGGCTCTCTCCGTCGTCAGGAACCTGTTGTGAATGCGGGTGATGTACTGTGAGTAGAGGTTGCTCTGGTGCTCTTGTGTCAGGTTCTCCACGTTGACAGAGGCCTCATGTTCAGCGGGGAGATTGCGCTTGGCGGCGAGCTTGTTGAGGTGGACCTTCATGTGGTTCTTGAGGAACCAGGGTTCTTTGAAACGACGGCCACAGATCTGACAGCAGTGCTCAAAGGAGTCCTTGTGTTTCCTCATGTGACCCTTCAGGAACCACGCCTGGCTGAATGTCTGGCCGCACACCTCGCAGGGGAACTCGCCAGCGGGCCTCTTCTTGTCACCGGGCCCCATGGTGGGCCTCTGCCCCGAGCCCGAGTCGGCGGTTATGTGCGCTTTCTCGACGTGGCCAATGAGCTCCTCCTCCTGTGAGGCCGCAAACTCGCACAGGGTGCACTTGTAGGGCTTGTGTAGGATCCTGATGTGGCGCTCAAGCTCCTGCTGCTTCCTGAACTTCCCCTTACAGAAGGAGCAGCGGAAGCCGGTGGGTTGCGGCTGGACGGGGTCCTCGAGGACGGCAGTCACCTTCGGAGACGTGGATGTGTGCGGCTGGATCACTGCGGCACCGGAGGCGGGGATGAGCGGCGCTTGTGTCGGCGCGGCCTGTAGGAGTTGGGGGTGTTGAAGCTGGTTCACACTGGGTGACTGCTGCTGCCCGGCATGACCGGCACGCGTCTGCCTGTCCCTTATTATCGCCCTTTCCTCAAGCTCATGGAGCAAGCGATTTTCTTCCCTAATACGCCCGCGGCCTTTACCCAGGATGCCCTGCTTGTGGGTGCGGAGATGTATCTTCAGGTTGCCCTTCTGGGCGGCCCTGTGGTCACAATACGGGCACTTGAAGGGCTTCTCGCCGGTGTGTGTGCGCATGTGAAGTGACAGGATGCTGTTGAAGCGGAAGCGCTTTCCGCACAACGGGCAGGGGTACTTCCTGTTCTTGCGGCCGTCGTCCTGGCTGGAATTCACCTGGGAGACGATGCTCTGATTGGTGACCCTCAAGAACTGGGAAAGCTCGGCTCTACCGTTCATGCTGCTGAGAATCCTCGCATCCATGATTTGATTGGCCAGAAGCGCCATCTGGCTCCCTGGATGGATGGGTGGACGGAGTAATGGAGCTGTCCTTTCAGGCCCCGGTGGTTGATGCGGTATGGTGGTCCGGGGTGTCTTTGTGGGACCGTCGGAAGGTTTAGCAGTGAACTGTATGCCGACTTATTTAGTTGAAACAGGATGTGGATGCATGCTGTTGAGAGGAAATGTTTGTTGGAGCCCAGACCTTAAAAAAGAAAACAAACAGAAGGTTATTCTAATCATGTTAAAACAAATGCATTATTCAAATACAAAGAATTGCAACTTTATAAGAAGGAGAACAGGTGAGTGTAATGTAAGTGGGGCTCTGAGCTGTCAATTAACAGTGGAAATCTGTACTTTTGTAGCTGCTGTATAAATGCTAGTGATGCAACACAACTAGGTCAGGAAATAGAGCAAAGTAAGTTCTGACTCTGTCATCCTGTCTTATATCTATACCTGTGGTTTTAGATCTTTGTTAAAGACCGTGAAAACGCTGATTAAGTCTAACCACAAAGGCTTCCTCAACAAATATCTCATCTTTACTAAAGGGTGAAGGAAGAATCTTTGTCTTGATCTCGTTTTGTACTGACACACAATACTAAGGCAGCACAAACATCAAAGGCCGTCTACTTCTACTTGCCCTTCCTTTGCATTTCACAAATCTCTGCTTAAAAAAAAAAGATTAAAGTTAAGCTTTTTCAGCAGGTCTATTGCATATTTGAATAAAACCTTTTACCCGGATAATTATGTCACAGGAGCAGTAAGAGAAATAAACAACTTGATCATGCAAAAATGCAAACTACAGTTAAGGCAAGAATATCCAAATGGAAAGCTAAAATATGCTTCACTTCTCCCTGGCAAGCTGCCCCCCTCCCCCTTCCCCTCTTCTTCAACTGCAGCAGCAAAACAAAGCTTCAAATTCACATCGCGCTACAATGGCAGAGGTCACATAAGCGAGTCCTGCACGGCTCTAGTGCAGCACCAAAGGGCACGGAACAAAGCCCGCACTGTCCACACTGAATTAACACAGGCTTACATCATCCTGGACTGCGGCGTCAGTCAGCCATGAAAACGATGTACACAGAAACACACTTTGGGTTGATGAGAAGCTCGCAGGCCGGCAGCAGTGGTTGGTGTGAGCGGCGCGCCTGCTCTGAGCTGTGGAGAATAAACGTTGCTCGCTATTGACGTCATAGAATCTGACAGGAAAAATAGTGAGCAAATTGCAATATAGTACAGTCGATCCACCTCATATTCCATAACCGGGCATTCCTGAGCACCAACACAGAGGGGGGAGCGGGGGATGTTCGCCCCTCCTTCCACAAACGCTCAAGGATTACGGTCATTTGAGCTATTATCGCATTTGAATCTATTAATGCCATTACTGTACTACCCTTGGATGTGTAATATTGCACAGCGTATCCAATTTGAGGGCTGCATCTGGTCGATAATGATTGATCAAACTGAACTTCAAATAGCTGTGCATCTGCAGCATCAAATAACTTGGACTGCCGAATAGTTGTGCTTTTATTTTATTACCTTAACGTAAGAATCAAGTGGCATCTCCTCTCCGCAACATTAAGAGGCCGGGCTCATTACAAATGAAGAGCGTGAACACTAAAACATTGAGTACCTTTTCCGCTCTATTTGTAATTATTATGTTTCATTTAAGACGGTGATGCACAAATCTGACTTTTTCCAGTAATGTCTGGGTACTGAGTATGGATCCAATAGCAGCAGTTAATAGATATGCAGCGAAGCTCACAGTGTGCAAGGGACTGGACTCATTCCTTTATGCGTGAGGCAACATCATACATAACTTAAAACATTGCTTTCTTAACTTTGTAAACTAATGTAGTAAATAAATGCAAAGGTATACAGTTACTGAGTTGTTATTTATTATGATAACTTATTTGATATTCAAATGAATTACAACTCACACATTTTGCTAAATGCAGCAACAAATGCAGCTACACAGGTATATGTGGCATAATAAATGGTATATAAACATAGAATTGAATTGTCCGATACCCAATTCAGCTATTTATTATTTTATGGGCACAGTGCTGGTTTATCCCTTGTGTAAAAGATGATCCTGCTTGTACTCATTGTACATAATACCAATACTTCACCTGACCTAACACTACTTTCTCATGCATCTCTTGATTCAGTGCGTTTCTCTCTATGTATTGCAGGATCCCGTTTAATCCCTTTTTTCACGCTTTTATTCTAAAACATCTGTGCTTTTAACAACTGCCATGTCTGGGACATCACATGAAAATTAGACTGGCATATCTTCAGAAATGATTTTAACACGCACTCCCTGTCGAAATAAAAAGTAATAAACGTAACTATAGTGCAATGCAGTTTTGCTCCCTGCTAACTGTCTGCACTGACCAGCTAACTGGAAGCCTGAGTGAGTCACTTAATAAAAGAGCAACAAGAACTAGAGCCTGAATCAAAGACCACCACTAGACTTAATGTAAATAAATGCTTTTGAGCTAAAATGTCTGACAGCATACCTGAGCCACCTGCTGCTGCCCGGTGGTCCAAAGAAACCGCAATCAGTCATGAGAATATTCCTACCCCCGAACGGATAAAGAGCTAGCTCGCCTGCGGCCACGGCTGGTGTGAGCGGCCTGTCTGCTCTGCGCGCAGATCAATGTAAGGAAACCGGCCTGACCTAATCACATCTGACAGGGAGAAAGTGAGCCAAGGACATTAGCATACACCAGATCCACTTCATATTTGTTAAAGTGGTATTCCTCTGATTAACTAAGCATAAGACGGAGGCATAAAACCTTCATCGTATGGGTGTGTGTGTGTGTGTGTGTGTGCTGGGAATTGCTGGGGACAGCAGTGGTATGCGGGGCCATCAGGTGTTTCTCTGTCAGAGTGGATTAGGATCGTTTTGGTGCAGATTGAGGGGGGGGGGCTTGATTGTTATTAAGCGTCGTGTCACAGCAGCGCCTCTTAGGTGTGGCCGCGCGCGCACGAACAAGGAGCAGGTGTGATTTGGAACAGCCAATGAAAGAAAAAAGAAAAGAAAGTGACACATACACAATTAAACAGGCCATGGGAGCTGTGCATTCTGGGTGATGTCGGATCCGACAATATCCAACATTGTTACGGGTATTTGTTCTGCAATCAGACTAAGGACTCCGTGTTTCAGTATTTAATTGACAGCAGGGTGTTATCTCTTCACTTTGTAGTCGCAGCAACTTGTCAGCTTGGATGGATCGGCAATATCGTAAATCCATGGAGCGCTGACACTGGAAGGAAATTTATGGATCAGAAGTGCGTCTTTCATATTTCTTTTTAACAGCGGTTAAAAGGCATTAATAATGTATGTGGATGGTTAAACTGAAGGCTGGATGCACCACACTTTGCTGCATGAGCCTGCAACAGTTACAGTGACCTACCTAATGCAACCTAAAATAAGAGATTATCTCCAAGGGAGAAAAGCAGTGGGCGTCGTGATCAAACAAACTACACACCTATACATATATCAGAGGAAAGTCAGAAGTTTTTTTGTATTATGCAGAATTTCATTATATAAGAGTTGCAATTTTCAATCGCATGGGAGGACAAAATATTCTGGCGTTCAGATGATCAAAAATCTAAATGGATGTTTAATTAAAGTTAGTTCTCTCGTCATGCATGGCTGTATGCCTGACAGATAATACATATGTAATGAATTGAACGCTATTGACCTAGGAAATGCATGCCTAATGTGTTACACACACACATCTATAAATCATACAGTGTGTGTTGTTGCGGTGGATATCCCAGATTATTTCTACTCTTTCTCTCTACGTCTAAATCACATACCACCACCACGACATTTCCTGAGAATTCCTGGAATTCCCTGCCGACCCCAGTTTTCACGGAACAACATTTGTATTCATTAGCACAGAGCAGGCTTTGGTGTGCAGACTGTAAAAGCCACGTGCCGTGCATTACGCCCTGTGAGTCTCGCTTCACCCACGCGCCCACCCACCCTAGCGGCCCGCCGAAGCGTCCCGCCCCCAGTCCGGGGGGGGGTGAAGAGCGAGGACAAGGAAGAGGGCAGCGGCAACACAGCTGCCCACCCTGACCTGTACAAAGGATAGCACCCATATACATTCTGACAGGCAGATTAATGAAACCCTATAGGAGCTTCTGTGTAGGCCCCCCCTCCCAAAAAAAAAGCCTGACGGAGACAGAATAGTCTAACCAGCACCATTCATTACTGCGGGAGTACAGAGCACAGAAAGAGCACACACAGCACTGACAAACTAGCTCCTTGTGAGTAATAGCTAAAGAACTCATAAAGGAATACATACACATTTGTTGTGGATGCAGTAAATATCTGCCACTCCTTTTACAACTATCAAAAATCTAGCTTGTGCCCCGTAAAAATAAATCTGCAGCAGTGATGTGATGTTATTTGGGAGTCAGCTATTTTCGCGTTCAGTGAAAGGAGGCTTTCGATTCATTCCGCGTTTTCATTCACTAATGCAGATGGGTGCCGTTGAAGGCGAAACGAGGGAAAGTAAGTCGCTCTGGCGACATACTTAAAAGCTGCAGGGGACAAAAACTTGCAGGCCTGCTCAGTGGTGACCGGCTGTGTTGGCACCTGTGTGAGTTGGTGTACAACGGTGATCAGATTCATCATCTGTCTTTCACACAACAACAGGTGTGTGTGTGTGTGTGTGTGTGTGTGTGTGTGTGTGTGTGTGTGTGTGTGTGTGTGTGTGTGTGTGTGTGTGTGTGTGTGTGTGTGTGTGTGTAGAAATATAAACATTGTGTCCTCAACTCGTCCCCCTCGTGCGCAAGAGCTTTCTCTCTCATTCACACACGCGGCCACGAGCGTTTAGATCAGTGATTCTCAACTGGTGGGTCGCGGACCCGTTTTTAGTGGGTCGCGGGCCTTTGCCTGGGGAAAATAAAAATTTGAATTAACAGCTGGCTGTTTTGTTTTTTCATTAAACTTGTTTTTGTGTTGGCATACGTATTCTGTCTCCATACTATCTCAGGTTCAAACTGCACCATATTTTTATTAAATAAATTTGAGAAGTTGAGAATGTTACTTGATTTGGGTCGCGGCTTGTCATTGAGGGGTGATGGTGGGTCCCGGAGCCAGACCAGTTGAGAACCACTGGTTTAGATGCATGTATTTTTGAATCAGCAACGTGTAAACAGTTGCTCTTGTTAGCACGGACCACCTGTTCTCTTCTGGACACAAACAAAGCTTTGGCGGTGTTAGCGGTGAGGGGTGCGTAGGGGATGCCTTGCTCAAGAGGAGGCTGTCCACGCGGATGGTTGGGCCCCGCAGGACAGCAGCGATCTCCAACGGAACTCGGAAGAATGGAGCTACTTCAGCGCGTGACACACTGACGTGTTTGGCTTTCTTAAAAAGTTCAACCGCACTGAAATACACACACCCTTGGTGCAAGGAAAAGCGTCCATCGCCATTACATCGTTTGAAGAGAGGGCATTGTGTTGTTTACGCTGCATAGTATTTGCCAAAGAGAGCAAAAGATGGAGGAAAAACTAGATGTGTCTACTTTCAGTTGCTGAAGCACTTGGAGGCACTAAAATAAAAGTCATTAAACGAGTCATCACAAAATCCCAGCAGGAGTCTGGTAATGCCACTTACAGTATCTCATTAAGCTATGGCATCTACTGGAAGAAGGGAAAAAACTGACAAACAAAGAGCATAATCCAAGGCACATTAACTGGGCTGATAATTCAATGAACTCTCATTTGGCAGCCATCTTGCCCTTCTGATGGTCTTATTTTCAGGCGCAGCAGCAGAGCACAGACCCCTCGTGAAGTTCCTTTCTCTCCCTCTCTCTCTCACACACACATACACAGATACCTCTATATATATATATATATATATATATATATATTCCTCCTCTCCATCACTCTCCCAAACCCTCTCTCCCTCTATATATAACTGTCTCTCTCTCGCTCGCTCTCTAAAACAACAAAACATCCACCATTAGACAACGGGGTTCCAGCGTAATTAGAAAATGACTTCCTTTGCAATCCTAGCTAAGTAGTTTACACACTGTAATTACAGGGACAAAATCATCTTTTCATCATTTCACTGATTGAGCTCATCAACCCAGTGGGATCCCAGGACTGTGCTCAGGCAACATCTGGGCTAAGAGAATTAGCCCTTAGTTTAGCAGGCCTTACACAGTGGCGAGCGATCGTGAGCAGCGGACGTGGCCGTGGCACACGCCTCCAATTGAGGAAAATCTCCGTTCGGACCGGTATGTTGGATCCCGGGGACCCGTCGAACGCCCCCCCCCGGCTCACCGGAGAATTTGTTGTTCGCCCACTTTGGCGCACCGGGGTCGCGATCGCAGTGGAGGGTAAGGTCACTGCGCGGCGAGTGTGTCTCTATTTCCCGCACTATCAAAAAAAAAAAAAAGTGTTGTATCTAACTCACACTCCCCCACTGAGGGCTCTCCTGCGCTGGTGAATCGAAGCATTGAGGATTGACCTTGGGGCACAACAAGGCGCCTTTTCCGCGGGGCGCTTTTCTTCACTCTTAATTCTCTGTGCCCTGAGCCTTGACTTTCCAACAAAGACACGTGGCCGCGGAGTTGAAGGTGAAGTGCTTTGGTGTCGTCCCCGTCCTGCGCCAGGGGCTCTGACTCTGGTGTGTTGGCAACAGAGGCAAGTGTTTAATGTGGCAGCTGTTAGCCTCGTGGATTTTCACTAATCACTCTCTCCTGATTACTCTGATGAGTGTATGATGCTCTTAAATAATCAACCGGCAATGAAAAAAAAAAAAAAAAAAAAGGAAAATAATTATCATCATCTCCCTGAGTAGTGCAGCTGCACCCGCCTGCAATAATTACAACTAGAACGCGGCGCCTTCTCTCGTCACTTACAACCACTTATTATTAAAGATAACGCTAATTGGTGCAGCGGTGGACGACAATTCTTCACGGGGTTCATCGTAAAAAGCCAAACCTTGAAAGTTATGGCACATTAGAGGTCTTAAAGCCAAGGTACGGTATTAAACCTCGCGTGCTGAGACATGCCGATAATCTGAGCCGGGGGAGCTGTAGACGTCCTATCAGTAGCCCCTCGGTTGCCTCCCTGCCTTGCCCTCACTCCGCCCTTCCCCCACTCATGGCATCAGCCTGGCAGACACAATTAACATTTTCATAAAAACAATTCCCTGCCTCCAATAGTCCAATGTAATTTGTTTTCCATCTCTGTTCATTAATCATTGTTTAAATCGGTGAGCCATCCCCTCCACTCTGCCATCTGCACTCAGCTGTGTTACAGATATGACACCTTCCCCCTTAATGGGAGCTGACAGCCAAGAGAGGAGGCCCGTGGAAAATAGCTTCCTGCACGTGCACTTCCACCTCACATACTGCCAGCAGGTGAGAGAGGGGGGATTTAATGGGTTCTGATTAATCTCAAAAGGCAAACAACATTATACACCACAATATCGTGCAGCATGCAACCCTACAGAATGCACACATGCAGCACAGCGAGCAGCGCCGCCGTCGCTACGGTGACCAAAAAACTCACGCAGACATTCTTTAAAAAAACGGCAACGCATTCCACATTTTGTCTCCTCTAGTTAAATTAGTGCAGTGTTCCTACAATATGCTATTGTTTTCCTGGAATTGGGAGCAAGGTTATTAATTATTCACTGTTGTGTTCTCATATGAGGGGGCTATGCTTTTCACTGTATTGCCTCATAGCTCAAATACTTAGGGCCATGGTAGTCGGGCAAATTTCATGAGGCAACATCAGAGATATTATTATCGCAAGGCGAGACACTTAGGAGATTGAAAGTTTCCTGAAGAGTTTTCAGTGATTGGAAAGGTTCCGATTTTTCTCTGATAAGATTTCAAAGTTTCATAAATCTCCAGCCCGCACGGGAGAGAGACAAATCAAATAAGTTTTGCCGCTTGTTTTGTTTCCTTTCAAGGGATTTTAAGCCCACGTCTATTAGCTTATAGACATTTTTCTGGGGGGGGGAAGAAAATCCTTCTCAATGCGTTGGATGACAGGGTGCCAAAAAGTTCATCTGGCCTGTTGATTTCACTGTGGATTACAGACATTCAAATCATGAGCCTCGTGTTCAAACAAGTGCGTATATCGGGGAGAAAGTTGCCATGCAGAGCTTGGTCATGTAAGCTGTATGAATTTACTGCAGCATAATGAGAAAAAATTACTGTTTCATCCCCTCAACCTCCCTCTCTCAAAAGGTCTCCCCAGTTTACGATGATGGGGCTCTGAGTCCCCGTTAAGCCTATGCAGGTTTTTATATTTGTATTTTCCTAAAAGACGACTTCACCTGCACGCATGGACCATCCAGTTACAAAACGGCTTTTGGGGTTGTTTCTAACAAGGACAGCAGCAGCAGCAGCAGTAAATGATGTGTATATTCAAAGTTGAATATTTCATGTTGATTGATCGAACTGACTGCCACCCACCTGCTCCTCCTCCTGTCCCACCGGAGCTGGCATGAGGAGAATTCAGTAATTGAGAAGAGCAGAGCATGCTCTCGCTTTGCTCACATATGACAGATGGGGCATCATCGCTTCAAAGGAGAGCGTTTGGAAACAGGAGGAAGGAGGAGGGCAGAGGCTAAGGGGGAGGAAGGGGGGGAGTCTTTGGGGAGTAGCTGTGTTGCTCTGTACAGGTGACATTAAGAAAAATACAAACAAAAAATGGAAGGCATTTAAAGCATTAAAAAATATATATGGGAACAGATGTGAAAGGGGCAACTTTCCATTTGAATTCATTTGGGCAAACTGCTACATGGCAACGTGCAGACATCACGCATCATTATCCTCAGTCACAACTTCGTCGGCCCAGAATTTGTATGAGATCGATGTATCGGGTACTTTATCATTTCTTCATTATTGGATTGCTAGTTCTAAGCCTGTAATGAAAAACCGCGATAAATACATGTTGTCGGTTTACTGTTCATGCAACACGCGTGGCCATAAACACCAATAAAACACACACTGTAGCACGTTTCTCCTGCTAATGTTTTCCGGTAATGTATCGAATAATTCCACAGTCGCCTCTTCATCCTCTCGCCATTATTTTACTTTTTTTTACCCCTCCAAAAAAAAAAAAAAAAAAGAGCCAACAGTGGCAGCTGGCAGGGGAAACACACCTCTTATCAGAATCCGTCAGAAACTTAAAGTCACTCTTATTTTTCTCAAAATGAGGGCTTCCTCTTACCTGGCCGAGGAGCGAGGAAGTGGCGCGGGGCGCACGAGGTGACAGCTGGAGTTCCGCGCGGACTGATGTTCGACTGGATGACTGACTGCTGACTGACGGACTGTTCGCCTCACGTGCTTTATCACAAACGCCCAGCAGCACACAGTCGGACCCGGATCTCCCCCCACCACCACCACCACCTCCTCCCCGAGCCTGTGAACTACTGCCTTGTCTCCTAAAACATGAAGCCTTCAAACGCTCCCGTCAACACGAACGCAGCAGTGCAGCTTTGCCGCGCGGTGGTATTTCCATTTAAGAGAAAAAGGCTAATGAAATCTTTTTTCTTTTTTTTTTTATAAATCAAAAAGACTCGGGATACTTCGACATGTCCCGAAGCCGTATGTCTCCCTCATCTGGTCGCTGGTGTGTAAGTGTAACCGACTGGCATCGCGCGTAAAATGAGCTCTGCCGTCTCCAGGACGCAGAGCTCATCGATCCTTCTTCTTGTGACGGAGGCCAGGTGCGCGCATTTGAAAGCATTACGCGGTATTATGCATGTCAAATTTGGTAAGGAGATTACCTGCAAGGGAAGTACTTTTATGCTCTTGGAAAACTTAATGGCGTGATGGATTCGCCTTTAACGGGCGTTATGAGCTTTAGACTTTGTGCTCTTTACAGACAGGATTATGCAGATGTGTTACACGGGTTGGTTGCGTGTCTCGTGCTTTGCATCGGCTTCTTGCTTTGTGGAGCCGAACGGCGTGTTTGGCATGTTGTGTCGGGGAAGAAAGGATGAATAAACCTCCCTGATTCAGCATTTTATTTGCTAAAAATGCTCCATTAGGAGAAACTTGGAACATCCATCACATTTCCACCAGGAGATCCCTTTAAGAGCTCCTTAAGTTAATACCTTACACATATCTCATTCTTGGGTATAATAATAATAAAAATGAAAGAAACAACAACAAAAAGGCTTCGTGAGAGAGTTCCTTTGTCTTGATGTTGGGATTTGTTTGCTTTCTATTGGGGCAGCAGGTGTTTTCTTGTTCTCCTTGTAAAGAAACATCCTAAAATTGTGACAAAAGCCCATCAGAATTTCCCTGAAGATGATTTACTCACATTCCAGAAGATGAAACCATTATTATTTGACAAAATGACTTAACAATCAGACTATTATTTTATTAAAAAGTGCAGCGCAGCAGGTTAGCCTAATTTTCCACAAATGTTTCAATGATTTTATATATATCTATATTGATTTTATTTCCACAGCAAACAGGAAAGAGGACACATCGAAGTGATATTTTGAGTTAGTTTGAGTTGAACTCTGACTGACTCGCAGAAGCAGTGCGAGAATCAAAGTGTCAGGAAGCTGCAAAGCTGTCACATCAGCGTGCACCACGTGAACATTGGTTCCTCCCCTGTGATTCGCCCCACTTCCTCTCATAGAGGAACCAGCTGCAGGTGTCGAGACACTGTGGCTGAATCTTTAGCATCGTGCCTTCACACAGCAGCCGAGCCTGATGTGTTGTTTTAATCCATTCCTGTGAGACGCGGAGCAACTGTTCCCCTCCTCCTCTCACGCCCGAGCACCTGTCCGGACAACAAAAGTGCCGGATTCCTTCATCTCACAACTTCTTCAAATCCCTCCTAATCCCTGAAATGTAGATCTGGTGGGTTTCCAACCCATTACACAGCGAGTACGTTAGGTTTCTTTGCAATGTACTTCTGCTCTGTTCCAACATATATCTTCACAGCTTAACCAACATAAGTCCATTGATCCGTGTCTCACCAACACAACTCTTGTATGTTAAGCATCGCCTAATCTGTCTCATGCTACCTGGATTTTCATTTTGGAGAAATAATCCTGATGAAGGAGAGGAAAGGGGGGATCGGGGGGCAGAGTCACCTCAGGACCTGTTTAAAAGCTTCTTATCACAGACCTGCACTCCCACCATTTAACTAAAAGGGGAGTGATAGCCTTTCTGCTCACAAGCCGCAGCTTTAATTAAAGCGGCTTGTGGGGAGATGAAGTACAGTGGTGTGTATGAGTTGAAAATATGAATCACGTCAAACAACGTGACTCAGTTTCGTGAGATTTTGAAGTTCAGTTTCAGAAAAATACTCACTGTAAATATTCACTGCAATAGAAAAACGTGTCCACACTTTTAGTGGGAGTTTGAATCCAGGAAGTTTACTCGATGGAATATGAATAAGTTATACGTATATTTCTCATTATGCATTAGTTTTACTACATCCTGTATTTTACTGACTGAATCCATGAACTGCTGCCACTAAATCAAACTTTATTCTGGTCATCAGCAGTAACATTTTGTTTTTGACCCCATACTAAACTTGATTTGTGGTTTGACTGCCTTGATTGGAAATTCCCACTCTCTTTCATTAAGGCTGTGCTCTGACTGGAATGTAGCTAACAGGAACAGACATTTAGTCTGCTGCATGGCTTTGATCAAATGTTATTGCTCGCTTACAGAGTTCGGTTTCTATATGGCGCATAGGGGTGGTGCTCCACGGAGCTCCTCACATATCCAGTTCAACAGGAAATTCCCATGAAGAAACAGTAATTCATAAGAGGGAACAGAACTTCTAGCCAAAATCATTTATTTTTCATTTCAGGTTACATCAATATTCTTTTGTCTTTACATAAAGCTTGTCACAGAGGACTACATACATTCATTAGGCAGGTTTAGAGGAAGTAAAATGAGTGCTAGCGGGCAAGGGATCGACACTTGGAAAAAGGAGTAAAAACAAAGCAACTGTTCCTAAGAGTAGCACAGTCCTACCTAAACTGGTAATAGCTTTGATTAACAGAAAAGCAGATGATACAATAAAAGAAATAACAGACAGCAATAGGTATGAACAAGCCCCACAGAAAGATGTGTAAATTGTTAAGTACCATCTATACTACAGGGGTGATGAGCAAAAGAGACTGCGTTTAAAAAGCAGCGTCAGACACAAGGTCACCGAGGGCAACGAGGTCGACGTGCATCTCCCGAATAGTCGACAACGTTAATGAAACCCCGTATGGACAGAAGTGAAAGAATCGCGAAGAAAAGGAAAGAAGATTCATCAGTTGTAGAAAAAAAAAATCCCACAGTGAAATACAGATAATTACTTGTTCACAGTCAATTCTGCTGCAACCTGGCAGCTTTAAACTTGGAAAGCCTCTTCGGGGCCTGCTGGGGCGGGGCCACGTCGGGCGCCACCTCCTCCTGTTTCCTCTCCAGAATGGTCGGCAGGGCCGGTGGACTGATGGTCAGGTAGGGGACCGCTGAAGGCATCGGCTCCTTTTCGACCACCGTGCCTGAAAAGGCCTGAGGAGAGAGAGAGAGAGAGAGAGAGAGAGAGAGAGAGAGAGAGAGAGAGAGAGAGAGAGAGAGAGAGAGAGAGAGAGGTGATGTGGTGTCACGTGACTGATGCTTGAAGGTTCAGGGGTCATGCTGGCCTTCCTTGTTCACTTTGCCTCTTCAGACAAAACATTTAACGCTTGCTCAACAGCATGCCGGCTCGCATTTTAATTTTAAGAGGCTTCTGTGGGAGTTTTTGTTATGTTCTCATTAAGGGATTCGACGCTCAAAGGTGCAATTTTCACAAACCATTTCATAATATAGCCACGTTGCGTTCACACTCTTAACTGAGACTTCACGCGGAAACTTAGCGGAGAGACAAAAATAGGCAGCGCGAGCCAAAAACCGGCGGGGCGAGCAGGCTGACCTCAAAGCGGCTGGCGCGGTGCAGCGGGACCGCCGTGGGACTCTCCTCCTCCGTGACGCCGTCGCTGGTGTCGCTCTGCGTGGTCTCGTCGTGGCTGAAGCTGCGGCCGACCGCGCGGCGCCCCTCCTCGAAGTCCGCCGCGCTGCTCTCGCTCGTGTCGCTGCACACGCTGTTCTCCCGGCTGCGCGACTTCAGGATGGACTTCCTGGGGACGGGTTCCCCGTTCTTCACGTCGACAAACAACCTGGCGGCAGAGCGGTTTGGGTGAGGCTCGTGGAGGAGGAACCTCGTGGGACGGGCTGCAGTAGACCACGATCGCATCTTTAAACGCAGCCCCGTTCTCACCTGTAAATGTCCACCGGCGTTGTGATCTTGTGAAGTTCGTGATGGGAGTGACCGTTGCTGTGTCCGTTTTTATTTTTCCTCTTGGAGTGTTCCTTCTGCTCCTTCCTTTCACTGAACTTCAACATGGTGTTTTTTCCTGTGTTTATCCTCACCTGAAGCACAACGGAGACACTGGAGGTAAAACGAGCGTCAACAAAGCAGAACCAAACGAAACAAAGACGCACTCTGTGGAACACAAGTTGTTCATCCCTCTGACCTTCTTGGGTTCGATTGTGTGCGAGAAGAAAATGGTTGGCAAACAGCTGCCTTCCTCTTCCTCGTCGTCGTCTTCTTCTGCTGCTGCTGCTTCTTCGTCAGCTTTCCTGCCTGAACTCGGTGGCGCTTCGCTGTGAGCGAGTCCATTTACCGCAGGAGCAGCGTCTCCCTCCTTCTCCTCTTCCGAGGATAAGGACGACGTGTCCTCCCCGTTCATGTTCGCATTATAAGACAACCTGCAGGGAAAACGTTTCCAGCAGACATTCTCATTTTGCCTGAGGATAGAAGATGTGCAATTATTAAACTAACAAGGGAAACAGTGTCTTCTCCTCTACCTGTCGTGATCATCTTGTAACTCCTCCTGCTTCTCCAGTTCATCTAATCTAGCCCACAACTCCTCTTCAGTCGTGGTGCATTTTCTGCTGCCCTCTTTCTCCTCATCCTCCTCTTTTAAGTCCAAGACAGCATCCAATTTGGGCTTAGAATTTGGTTTGTGAGCTATTCTCTGCTTTCCTGTTAAAGCAGGAAGAGAGGGTGATGTCACCCCGGGTATCTGTAGAAGCTTTGTTTGCCTTCTCATAAAGAAAGACAAATGAGATCAGATCTATTAATAAGAAAAATACCTTTGGTGACAGCAATGTCACCGGTGTTCTCGGTGTCTTCTCTAATGTCCACGTAGTCCCCTTTACTCTGAGGAATAAGCAAAGTCAGTGCGTTTGCTGCCTTTAATGTCCACATTTCATACGTGAGAAACCTTGTAGTAATGCAACGTACGGATGAGATGCTTTCCAGATCCCTCACAAGTCCAACCCTGGCTTCAAAGTTTTTCATCGTCTTTGAAAGATCACTGATTTCACTCTTCACATCTGCAACAACAAAAAAGGGCCATTATCGTCACAACGTGCATTCAGAGTGTTGGAAACCCACTGTGCATGAACTGTCTGCAGGCTAATGGATTCAAATTAAACGATAAATATAACAATTGCAACCGGCCGATGAAGAGTTAAAATCCAGCGTTGGGAAAAAATGATGACACAAACAGTTCATAATATCTTCTGCCCTCAATACTACTTCGGATCATTAAATCTTGACAACAATTAAGCCCTTTTACTAATAACAGCAGAGGGGCCCTGTTTCCATGGCGATTGGGAGCCCCTCCAGTCAGTGCATCAACTGGAAGTGAGGAAAGGTCAAACACAGAAGGCCTGACAACTCAGCCGCTGTCTGACACATTTCAGCCAGCCATGTTTGTATTACAGCACTTAGCTCTGTAATAGCGTGGAGGGCAGGGTCAGGAGATAGGAGGGGGGGAGGGGGTGGTGGTCCGGGGGGGTAGACGGCTGCGGATGGGCTGTGGCAGCATGTTTCTGCTTCACTAAACACTCTAATAATGTTCACATCAGACATCGTTACTCGGGCCCATTTGACTTGATAGAAGATTTTCCAAACGGAGAACGAGCAGCGGGGGGAAACACGTTAGATGTAAATACAGGGTTTCTGGCTCTCAATCAAACCATAGTGCTGCATGTACGGGACTAGTTTTGACCAGAGGAGAGGAAAACATATGTATTACTATTTTGAGGGGAAACAGAGGCATTGACAAGGCAACATATGGGTGCTGGGGAGGCAAAACGCTCCGAACAGTTCAGAAGCAGCATGACAGTTTAAAACTGTACCATATCAGTGAAAAAGAAGAAATTCTAGTAACTCTAAATCTTTTTTTTGTATTCCTGTAGTAGATAACAGCTGACAGTTCCTCAGACAGAGGCGATGTAGCGGCGCCCTCTGCTGGAGGAAGGAGAGAAGTGTTCAGCGGCTGCAGTCAGTTTGAAACAGGGAGGACAAAAAGCAATATTTCAAAACGTTCAAGGACTCACATTTCATCCTGTGGTCGACGATCTTCTGAGCCTGCTTGGTGGAGCACTTGGCGAACCAGTTGTCACCGAGCAACGCCGTGACCTCGTTTGTGTGCACCAGCTTCCCGGGCATGAAGGCCAAGGGGCCAAAGGGCACCTGTTTATAGCACAGGGGATGAAAAAACAAGAGAGAAGCGGTTAATGATGCAGGTGGCGGAATGTGCACGCATGAAAGTAGGAGAAAGGGAGAAATAAAGTGGCGTTCATCTTAGAAACCTCCCCACACTTCACGAGTCGAGTGCCAGCACTCACCATGATGTCATAAGACAGCTGATCGGGAAGCGTCTGAAGGCGCTCGGTCAGGGCCTCATAGTCACCTGACACCTTCTTCCTGCAGAAGCATGTTTTTAGAAGGAGGATAACCCAGAAACTATTCAAAATAATGTTAGTTTTTCATTTGAAGCCACAGATCTCATGTGAAGCCTTTGTTATCCAAATAGTTTTGGCTTGGTTTATTTTTGAGGATGTTAAAAGAGAACAACGGGAAGCAAGAGGCAGCTGTGGAGCAATGAGGGAGAGCCGGTTTCCCTCCTTCAGGGGCAAAACGGAGACTTCAACCAAAGAGGCCTCATTGTTTTATTTTTATCCATTTACCACCGGACAATGTGAAGCTTCAGAGAAAATCATGACAACAGATCGACATTAAAAAAAAAAAAAAAGAGCAGCTGCAGCTCCACTACGAGGCCTTCGTCCATGCACATTCACACCACAGAAACATTACTTCCTGTAAACGTTTAGATTTGGGCTTTGTGATTTGTGCTTTGGTTCTTTCTCCAGTGAAAAGCACAAAACCAGTTTGTAAACCTGGAAGTTACACATTCGCTTTGAGTGATAAACAACGTGTGTCGCGGCCGGAGAAAAGCAACACACTTCCACGGGCCCTCATTGACTTTATCGCGTAGATTTGATTGTTCGATAAAAGATATCATACGTTCCAGTGGGCCTTAGTCAAAAAAAGGAAAACAAATGACACCGAAAGCGCTTATCTGGACGACCTAATCGGCACGGACACTCGAGTGGGACCAATAAAAGGTTTTTGTATTTGTTTTTACTTCTAGTTTTGTCCTTAGGATGTTGTGTATTTAACATAAACATACAACAAAGAGTCCCACACTGTTCACCAGGAACAAGCATGGTTCCAAAATCACACGGTTTGTGTGTGTGCGCTCCACCTGTATTTACCGACTGCCGGTGAATTGTTTCCTCGGGGGGGATGAACACTGGACTTTGTCCCTCCGTAGTGGGTCCAACTGAACACAACGGTAGAGTCGGAGAGACGTGAAGTCCCTGCGAATCGCTCGAGTCAGTCAAATACGTGAGTGTCTGATGGTCGGGGAGTCTGACAGTAGGGATGCGGAGTTGTGATTACGTTATCGAGCATTTCGTACTGATCCTTTAAGTAGTGTTTGCGCTGCAGTTTGTTTCTAGATTCTCTCCTTCTTCCTTTGATGGAAGCCCGTCTTAAACCTGCTGCTTTGCTACTACAAAAAGGTGGAAAGATGCCTTCAGCCCATCTGACAGTTCAACAAACAATAACGGACTGTGGGGGTGTTGGAAACGTCCCTTCCTGCACTGCAAATGAGGGTAGAAGTGTCTAATTAGGGTGCACTTAACAAATGCCTCTGATTGGCCAAGTTGTGTTTAGTTTGTTGATTTGGACGCGAGCCGGCGCTTCAAACCACAGAGCATCAGTAACGCACAGAATCACACTCGATTAATAGAGGAAGCCAAAATTAGGCGATAAATGATGCCGTTCCGTGTCTCTGACAAACACAAACTTTGCCGCTAAAAAGAAATTAGCGGACAATGACAGCAGCATAATTTTGGGGCAAAATATTCCTTAATTTTGTTTAAAAATGGATTTATTTATAGATATGGATCACTCAGGGACAATGTGTGTCAACCCTTCCTATGCAACTGATTGAAATAGTATATGTGACTTTCTCAATGCTTACCAGTGCAGAATCCGACTCTCACAGTCTTTCACCACCTGTTAGGACAAATCAGGTCAATAACAATCACATCTACACAATGCAGACTCTTGTGTCAAGGTTCACAACCTGCAGGACGTGGTAAAAAACGCTGTGAATAATACCAGATTTCACAATGCTAAACATCACTGATCAGTGTTTTAACCGGTAGTGCAACTAACGTTACTACCAATGCAAACACACAGGAAGAAGAAAAACCAGACACACAGAAAGACACACACACACACACACACACACACACACACACACACACACACACACACACACAACCAGACAAAGGAGGCCACGCACAGCTGCACAGACACCATTCAAATGGTCCGATCAGCACTAACACACCTTCTCCGGGGGGATGTGAGCTCATGGAAAGCACGTGCTTTACACAACTTTGTTGCATGCTAAACTTTGTCATCGTCGTATTCAAACAAATGTAACTGACTTCCTGGCTAAATGGGCTCAGGGGGGGGCGAGTGTGTGTGGGGGTGTGGGGGGTGTTAGTATCTTACTTTCTGTTAATCAACAGTTCATTCAAAAACAGACGGGGTTTTGTTTGTTTTTAAACAGTCTGGAAGCCACCGACGAGCCCAAAGCGACCGAGAGACCACACGGACACACACCTCCCCGCTGCCGACATTTAAAGTAACGAGAACTTGAACATGTGAGCGGCTGCAGCGAAGCTTCTAGAAGAAGGGGGGGGGCAGTCAGAACGGTTCACTCACGGCGCACTAATGCAGCTTAGTGCACACACACGTGTTTGTGTGTGTTTAATGCGTTAAAGGTGGGTTCGGGGAGCCGCGTGTTTTCCTGGCTAGCAGCGTCACACATGTCAGCAGGGGAAGGGGGGCACGTTTACCTTCTGGTGTTCCTCTCGGAGCCTGGCAACTCCGCCGAGATGCTCCACGTTCATTTTACCCTTTGCAGCCATTGTCAACGTGCACGACGGGAGAACCAAAAAATGTGTGTGTGTGTGTTTTCTTTTTTGTGTGTGAGCCCAAAACAAAAGCTCAGGGGTTGCAGTGAGTCCTGAAGAAGTGTTTATGAATGCAGCCGCGGCGGTTCCTCGGACCCGTTCTGCTCGTAGTCATCAACGGGACGGTGATAATTATCCTCACGTTCGGGGGCGATGACATTTCACACTCTCATTTCAGGATTTTTGCATGACGTCCCAAAAATATCCACGGTTTTGATATCCAGAGGTGAGCAAACAGTCCTCGTCCCTCCTGCTGCGACATGTACCTCGCTCAGCCGTCAAGACGCGAGGCGTCACCACGACGCTTCCGGTTAGAAGATCAAAAAGTAAAAACTCTGAATTAAAAAAAATACTCGTAATAATGATGCGATGTTACATTTTTGCTGTATTTTATGTTGCATTTTACTGTTCAGCATATTGATGCTTTCCATTCTCCATTATTTATGACAAATATATATTCTAACAAGTTATTGATGCTAAACAGACCACAAGATAAACACCTCGGTACCGTTTTGAACTTTTATTTTGAAGGCAACACGTTAGAATTCCCGCTGCTCCTCTGCTTGCCGCGGTGTTGTCTGGGTAAAATGTGGATGATCGCACAAATGTAAACAGTCGACGTACTTTAACGAGCTGAAACCCTGCAGCAGCACTGACCAACCCACAGTAGCACGGTGACAACAAGCACGACCACTGTCAGGGAGTTGTCTATTTAGAAAAGCACAAGTGGGTTTTCCTCGACCTTCGTAAAGGTGAATCAGTCTGCAGCTGCACAGACGTTGTTATTACAGATACTATTTGAACACACACGTGTCCCTATGATAGTCCACTATAGTTTGATAATAGTAATCAGATGTCTGTACACATGAATTAGCTCGGAGTCACAGTCGTGGTAAACAAGTTTGCTAATGAATACAATGCACCCATGGTTTCTGCCCACTTCTTCTTGGACGCTGATTGGCTGTTTGTGTTGCTTTCAGTTGCTATCGGAAGTTTGACTTGTACCAGTTTTACTAGTGTAAGCTAACTGTTGATATGAGCCCATTAGAAATTCTAATAATCCCTACTTTACCTCTTATATTTAGTATAGGAATCGTATATTCATTGCTGAACAATTCAAGATGCATTTAAAAGGTACGTCATTTTAATCACAACTTGCACGTCAATCAAATATAATCTGTTATAACGTAAGGAGCATTTTCAGTGACTCGCTGTCTCATCTAAATACATCAACAAAAATACTTCTGACCAAAACGCATGGAATTCGGGATTGGTCGAATGTTCCTGAACGCAGCATTGGGGTCTCTCCCATCAGCCATTGCGGTGACAGTCACGCAAGCTCAGAAATCAGGAGCCGCCGACCAGTGAGCATAGTTGATAATAATAATAGCATCTCAACTTAAGCCTTACACGTTTCAATGAGGATTTCATGAGGCAGCAAGGTACGTTGATGCGGTTTACTGTAGTTATTACTATAAACTTTGTCTTTTACTTTGTTGACCGGGCGACAGAAACTTTGAAACGTTAACCTTTGGCTTTTGACGCTTTCTGATGCAATCAGCTATCATACTGGTGTCTGCCTAGCGTTACAATAGATAATGACTGCGTTTAAATGCGTGCCACGATATTTAATACGTACACAGGATAATTTATGTCATTCACTGATGTCACCCTGCAAATTGTTGATTTGTGAATCAGCTGATTTGATATTGTATTCCAGCTACTTGTACAGACAACGTGTTCCTGATTTCTTATCCTATTCGTATCAGATTGTTCCTGCGGTTATCATTTCTGTCACGTCTTCTGAAATGACGAATCTGACCCACAGCATGTGTCACCGAGTCAATGATGTCATGAGGCTGTGTTGTGAGTTATCTGCCAATCAGCAAGTCCAGACCACCGTGAGGGGCTCCGGGAAGGGGGCCGCAGCAGCTGGGGGTCTGGCCTTCGCAGGAGGGTTGATCGGGGGACCTCTTGGCATCGCAGTCGGTAGGTGGAGAAAGTGCAACAGTCACTGCAGCCTGGGTACCTTTACAGTACGTGTGTTTGAATCCTCTTGCCCTGCAGGCGGTGCTGTCGGAGGCCTCCTGGGCTGCTGGATGACCAGCGGACAGTTCAAGCCGCTGCCTCAGATCATCATGGAGCTCAGTCCTCAGCAGCAGCAGAAGCTTTATGACGATCTCCTGGCGGTCATGGGAGACATCCAGTGGACAGATTTGGTTCAGCTAACTGCTCTGGTGATGGGCAACGCCACCCTGAAGCAGCAGCTTACGGCGACCCTTCTGGGGTATATCTCCAAAGAGCTGCAGGCGCAGGTGCACTACGTGGATTAGTGTTTGCCGACCCCGATTCAGGGGTTCAGAAGACTGTTTTTGTCATGCTGGAGAGACTCTTTATCAAATGGGGAATCAAATATTGTAAATTTGATTTAGTCCTGGTTACAGGTTACACTGAGTAATAAGATTATTGTGAAAACGAATGGATAACTGGATTTGTTTAATGGAATTGAAAATACACTCATCAGTTGACTTATAACTTATTTATCCATTCATGGCACTGATAATATTTAAATACAAAATATCATGAATGGAATGAGCACCAACTGTACAGTTTGAAATATTTTAATTTGATGGTAAATTAAGTTTAATGTCAATGATTTGACCAGCATCTCCGCTCTTTATATTGTATTTAAAGGATTCCAAAAAGTTGGTGTGTTTCACTGGTTCACACACATTGTTCATTGGGGTTAAATTCAAAAGTTCTTTATCTTACTTCGCAGTTCACTTTCTTTGCTGCTGCTGTCATTGGTGTAAAGTTCTTATCTTCCCGAACCAATTTGTTAAAATGGAAAAAGGATCCTTAGGTTTTCTGGATGGTCCAATCATCTTAACGTAATCATTCAGCTTCTCAGGCTGCTTGTTCATTTGTATGCACTTTTGACAGCTCAACTTTAGGTAACCATGAAACAGGCCCCTTTATAATCTTTATTCAATGTAGGTTATTATAGTCTGGTTTATCCAAATGTGTTTGACCATAGAGCTTCTAGCTTGTGTGCGCATTAAACCGAAGGATCCAAGAACCATACAATAATTTATTGAATTATGTCATTATTATTAATGGTCCCTTTTTTTTTAAACAAGGAATCGTCATCAGGATCTGGTTTGGACTTTATCACACAGCTCCAACACAACATAACATCAAGTTGGGTGTGAAGGCCAAGGAATGTGGTCTGATCACAACCCGCTTTTACCAGCTCCCCTTTCTATAAGCTCGCCCCAGTATATCGGTAGGTTGAATCACTCTATCCAGTAGTGGTCTGAAGCTTTTGTATTTGCAACAAAGAGATGTAATACACATTTGCTTTCAGAGTGTTGTTTCATTCACTGTCAGAGCAGTGCATTGCTTCAGCCCTTTATGTAATTATTCTCCTCATTTGGGCATTTTCTGCCCTCAAAAATCATTTTTCTAGACTAAATGCTAAAAGTAGTGCAGGATAAAATAAATACAATATCATAGAATCAAAGACGCGCTGTGTTGTTTTTAACGAAAAAAGAAACATGAGCTCAGTCATAGAGTTAGAAATATGTCTTTAATAATAATTACACACATTTTATGTCACTCATCTCTCAACGAGAGCCATCAAAAAATACCTATTACTGAGAGGAAGCGAGACCACATTTATCCCACTATGACCGTGTCCTCGTCAGGAAACTCATAGAAGGGAACTTCCAGATTTAGCGGAGCGGGTCCCTTTCTTATTCTCCCTGAAGAGTCGTAGTGGGAGCCGTGGCACGGGCAGTAGTAGCCTCCATAGTCTCCGGCGTTGGCGATGGGCACACATCCCAGGTGGGTGCACACGCCGAGGACGATGATCCATTTGGAGTTGAGCACTCGCTCCCTGTCATGCTGGGGGTCCCGAAGCTCCGCGATGTTCACGGCCTCCTCTGTTGCGATTTCCTTCTCCGTGCGGTGACGGACAAACAGGGGCTTCCCTCTCCACTTGAAGGTCATGTTTTTGCCCTCGGGGATGTCGCCGAGCTTGACTTCGATCTTGGATAAGGCCAGGACATCTGCCGACGCGCTCATCGAGGAGACAAACTGGGTGACCACCGTCTTCGCTGCGTACACACCGACCACGGTGGTCGCGCCAGTGACCAGGTACGAGAACGACCTTCTGGCCTCACTGCTCTCCTGGGAGGACTTGTTGGGGTCCGTCACCTCGGGGCGGCGGTAGTCTGTGAAGTCAGGGATCTTGATATCTGTGTGGGCGAAGCGGATCCCGCCAGGAGCTGAAAAGAAACACAAGAAGTTTTTAAAGGCAGGGGCGGCAGATGGGAAAATTGCAGCGTCATCTTCTTATTTTTGTATATTAGATAGGAGATATTTAGGATGCCATCACTGAAAACGAACAAATATTCACATTTGATTAACTCAAACAAGTGAATATGTTTTTTTTAACAAAGAAGGCCTTTCACCTGTATTGGCACGTGAAACAAAACAATAACAACAACAGGGTCTCACATCCTGTTCATCTCCGTAACCGTTAAATTAACGTCTTTGAGCCGTTTTAAATTAGAGTTGACCTTCTATCACGTTTCACACGTCAGGTGACGTCATATCACAGCTGTTTACCGTTTATTACAGACGATGAAATGAAGACACACCAAACGTACATTACGTTTTGTTTAAATGAGAATGTTATTTAGTCAGTTTGCGGTCACTATAATAAGTCGCGTTGTTACGTCAGAAGGCACAAACGCGTCGTTCGGCCTCACCAGCAGAAGGCAGCAGGTCCGCGAGCCGCAGGCTCTTAACTGTCTGCTTTGTCGCCTGCAAGTACGGGGAACGAGCCCCGACGCGAGCAGACATGGACATCATCTTGGCCCAGAATAAGGGAGCTCCACGCCGATGGTCCGCGGAAACGACACGACCTTGCGAGTAAAAAAGATCTCGCTTTGCGTCTCCCTGATGTGCTTCCCCAGAAACTCCCCCCGCCCTCTCAGGGTTCCGTGTTACCTACGGTCTGTTTTTGGATTATGCGTCGCGTAATTGCACACGTTCACGTGTTTTGATTAAAGCCCTAATTACATGTTATGTATTCAGTACTCAAATATGCCAACGGGTTGAACCAACGTGCTCGAAATTACACAACCATTTAAGATATCGGAGGTTTTTGCACAGGCGTTTTTCTAAGTCAGCTGTGACTTGGGATGGGGGGGGTCCTCGGAATGTATACAAGGGTCCGCTCACCAAAAGATGGAGAGCAGCTACACAATGGTAACCTGAGAGAATACAATTAAATGAAAATGAAAATACCAAAAAGAAAGCTATTCCTCCTAATTATTTTTGCCTACGTGGCATTTTCCCTCTATGCTGCATACAATGTCTTCTTCAGCACCAAAGTCATCTCCCGCGTTCACAGGGTGGTGAAGAAAGAGACGGGGGCGCTCTCGGGTAATTTCACCGTAACAGCTAACGTTAGCATAACCGTTATCCGGTCCCGATTGCAAATAGTTTCCAAAATAAATTACAGTTTAAACGCCGTTTTTTTTCATGGTAACTTGAGATGACGGGAAAGTGTGTGTGTTGCGTTTGCAGATGGTGCCAAAGACGGCGGTGCTCCTTTTTTAGCCCGTGACTGGAATCCGTGGGAGGATGAACAGGTGGACTACAACTCCGATCTCACCAAAAAGAGGCAGGCCTTCAAACAGCAACTGGGTCGAATACACCAGAACCAACCCAAACGATACAGGGTGCAGATCTGGGGTAAAGCTGCCATAGGTGGGTCGTTGGTATCGTGTAACTGTCACTGGCTGCAGCGAAGGTGACGTTATATGTCCTGGTGGACGGGAGTGAAATGACGAGTATGTGTCACCACATGATTTAAAACGGGTTTTTTTCTTTTTCATTAAATCTTAATTTGTTGTTTTTCAAGTATTGTGTTTGATGATTTGATTAATTTCAACATTTGCATTATCTTATCAACTTAAATTATAATGTCGAATAGAATATTAGGTGCAAGAAAAAAAAGGGACTAGGAAATAGCAAATGTTAAAACAAAATACAACCAAACATCATTTTAAGGGCTTTTGAAATAAATAAAAGTTTGATGCATTGAAATACAGGAAACCACTGACATATTTGACCTCGTGTTAGTAGCACCTGCAGCATGGCTTACATTTCCCAGGTCATCACAGGTCTTATATGATATCAAAAAAGATTATTATAAGTTCAATACATTGAAAATATTACTGCGTTACTGAAAATTAGATTAGATTACATTACATATATTTAATGAGTCTATGAATTAACAGAGAACCTGGATTGTATCACTAAATCTCAGTTGCAGTGTAATTGAGTACAGGAAAATACTATTGTGATGAAGATGAATGGTGTTTAGAAAAAGAAAATTTTATAATTAATGAAAAGGTTTCTAAATTATTTTTTATAAAACAAGTTATAATTCTTTCTTCAGACAAAATGATTGGATTAGAGACAGGGATACCACTAAGATGGCTGAAGTGACAGTCACCACAGTGTGTACACCTGATAACACCAGCAGGAGTTTACAGACATAAACACATACATCAAAATGATTTGTGTCCTACTGTAGAAGTCAATGGTATAACATGACGGCACTGCATGCGTTGCAAGTATTAACTCTGGTATTAAATGACCATGAACTCTCTTTTTTTTTCTCCTCAGGGATTTACCTTTGGGAACATATTTTAGAGGGACCCCTGAACCCTACTGACAAGATCGCACAATGGCAAGAGGGGGAACTGCAGTCAGGAAAGATAGATTTCAGGTAAGAAGTCAAACGTGATACATAAAAACTGCCAAAGCCAAGCACGTTGTCTGCCTTTGTGTCCCTGTGAAACACCCCCATAATATGTAAAAGACTCAACTATGGAATTTAATTTTCTCCCTTTGCTCTTGCCACTTGCCTCCTTTCTTAGTTTTTACACAGGTCCTGCTGTGGTCCAGGGGCATGTCCCTCTGGATATGAACAGCCTGGTTCTGGTTCTGAATGGCCGGGAACAGCAGAAGGTCTCTTACTCCACACGGTGGCTGGAGCATGTCCAAGCGCTGGTACAGTCCCGCACAGTGTCACATGTGGCGGTGGTCCTGCTGGGAAATGAGCACTGCAACAACGACTTCATTGCCCCATACTTAAAGAGAAATGGTGGATTTGTGGACTTACTGTTTGTAGTTTACGACAGCCTATGGGTCAACGACAAGGATGTCTTCCAGTGGCCCCTTGGTGTTGCCACGTATGTCATTTCTTACTTGTTTGTGTGTACATCATTATAGCTCCATAGCAGTACATTAAACCGCAGCTGGAATAGCTTTGTCTAACACGTTGCTCTGTTTTGCTTCTCTGTGCAGATACAGGCAGTTTCCAATGATCAGGCCAAATGCCCAACTGATTACCTCCAACAGGCCATACCTCTGCAATTTCCTAGGAACTATTTACAAAAATTCCTCCAGAGAAATTCTTATGCAGGTGCTAAAACAATCTGGTCTGGATAAGGAATGCATCACCACTGCCAGGGAGAAGTAAGTCTGGGTTAAAAAGTAATACTCTAAAAATCTGTAGTTTTGCCCTGATGTTATCAGTAGCTACTTTTTTATGTGTTCCAACATTTAAGAATTTTTCTTTTTTTAACTTGTTAAATTAATGATGGTGTTGAGGTGACATGTCTACAGTATGAATCATCTGATTAGAACAGTGCCACCGTGTCGTATTATTTACATTCATTCCTTGCCTCAGATGGCTCCCTCAGGAGACAGCAGACAGTTTGAAACGCTATCAGACGGCTCTGGCCCAGAGCGAGCTCACTCTGTGCCCCATCGGAATCAACACCGAGTGCTACCGCATCTACGAGGCCTGCTCCTATGGCTCAGTGCCCGTGGTGGAAGATGTACTGGCGCCTGGGTCCTGCGCGTCCGGGTCCAGCTCCCCGCTGCGTTTGCTCAAAGCTGCAGGAGCACCCTTCGTTTTCATCAGTAACTGGAAGGAGCTGCCGGCCATCTTGGAGCGGGAGAGGGGGATGAGCCAGGAGCAGAGGGTGGACAGGAGGAGGAGGCTGCTGGAGTGGTACGCAGGCTTCCGTCAGCAGATGAAAGAGAGGTTCACAGAGGTCATCGAGGAGACTTTCTTCAAAAGTGGCTGACGGCTGTGTTCATCAAAACATACATTTAAAAGGTACACAGGGGTATACAGCCGTTCAATATTGGTTTAATTCATTTCTGTGGTTTGTGGATAAATGTGTCGTACTACGGATGTTGTGTGCCTGATGATGTTTAGAGTAATATTCCTGTGCGGGTTATTATGAAACCATTTGTGTGTGCTGTAAGGTGGCCATTACTATTCATTAAAGAACCCCATGACATTATTTACATGGGTCATGTCCATCATCCTAATGTTTACAAAGGTGGAAAGTCCGGGCGTTTAGAAAACACTCAAATATACTGCCTTTGCATTTTGAAGATCTTATATTATTTCAAACCATGTTTTATATCTGTTTGTACTCACTTCATGTTGTGATTTTCTGGAAACACTAAACATTGGGGAGTAGAATGAGATGAGATGTGTTTTCAAGCCTCATTTGAAAATGGTGCTTAGAGCTTTTATCTTATAATTGACTGGAAAACTGATGCTGTTTCTTTGGCATGTGACAATTTTCTGATCAAAGTTTCATTGGTGTGGTGCATGTATGTTTCAAGACGTTTTGGTCCTGGACTGAAAGAAGCCGATGTGCTTGTATGCATTTATTTTCATACGCGGTAGATGGCGCTGTGGTCCAGCTAATCGTTAGTGGCAACAATGATCTCGGACGACGGCAAACGCTTTGTGAAGTTAGGAGAAGTGAACGCGCTAAAGCATGCTGACATCTTTGATATACGTACTGTGCATTTGACTGCTTGTCTTTTGGAATATATTTGGAATATATGATGAATAACGTAACAATAAAATACATGTATATTATATTACCTGTACTGGCTTACTTGTGAGAATGCCTGACTGGAAATAAGTATGCTTTAACTGGATGTATTAAAGGCCCTCTGCTGCTGTGGCCTCCTATATTTAGCTGGATATCTATATATTTGAAGAACAAACGATTAATTAAGGGAAAACGCAACTGCAAATCCTTTCTCTCAAGTTAATTTAGTTGGAATGCCACATGTTAACTGGTTTATTTGTTAACAAATACATTAAGAACATGGTGTTGGTTGCAAGGATACACAAAGTAGTTAAGATTTGGGGCCCTGTCTCTCTTCTGGTGCCCACCAGCTCTGTGTGCGTGCAGATCCCTCCCTCTCTCCCCCTCTTCTCTCCGGTGTGATGCAGTCGGTCTGCCTCTGAGCCTGCTGGGAGTTGGGAGAGGGGAGAAGAAAATCGCAGGGGGAGAGCGCGCGAGCGAGGGGGGCCGTGGGGGGGAGGAAGTGTGTGTGTGTGTGTGTGTGAATGCGGTCCCAAACTAGAAAACACAGTTCAGACCGACTTTAAAGCCCTCCTAGATGGGTCGCGGAGCGCCGTGAAAACCCGCCACGGAGACCCTGAAAACGTGCTGGATCTCTCTTTTTCCTTATTCTTCTTCTTCACCTTCTTCTTTTTCTTCTTCTGTGGTGGTGGCGGCAACGCTGTTGCGTCGCAACGACTGCTGGGTTACTGGAGCGGATTCCTCCGTCGGAGCAGCATTGCGCGCATTCATATCCAGAGGGAAGAGGAACCAGCGCCCCCCCCTCTCTCTCACACTCTCTCTGTCTCCCCTCACTCTCCCTCTCTCTCTCTCTCCCTCCGAGTCGAGCTTGTTACGCAGTTAAATCCTTTCCAAGGGCCATTTGTTTCTTTCGCCGTGCCTTTCCCCCCCGTCCCGTCCTGTGCGGGATGCGGCCGCTGCTGTAGGACCCCGCTGGCTCAGTTAAAGAAGAAAAAGAACAAGTTTACAACAAACGTCGGTGTGAAGGAGACAGAAAATGTCCTCGTCGAGGTTCAAAAAGGATAAAGAAATCATCGCGGATTACGAGAGTCAAGTCAAAGGTAAGCGGGTGTTTTTTCTCTGGGAAATGGAGCCGCTGGGAGATGAGTTTAGGTTGGAAGGCTAAACATGACCCGCGTGAGTCATAGCTAACGTTGGAGACGTGGCGTGTTCAATTTAGAATAAATATTATTTAAAAAAGTTAGCAACTGAGCTCAGGAGTGGCCTGGTGTCTTTTTGCTTGGCTGATTTGCACGTGAAAGCGGTCCTCCGATTGCCCCCATCGGCACCATTAAAGAGTTCACTATCTCACCCGCGTCTCTAAGCCCACAAATGACTCTGTTAGGTCAATAAACTATGATGCGCGCGCCCCCCCCCCCCCCCTCTTGTTTAGTATATATTTTACTGCCACTTCTTGGGGCGGAGCATTTCATCGTGCTGACGTGTTTAACAACCTGTTCCTATCAGAGTTCCCACAGCTAATGAATGAGACGGAGGAAGGGAATCGCACATGTTCAGACAGCACACCTGTATCCACCCGCAGTGCGTTGCTCAGGGGCACTACAGAAGAGCAGTGGGGTTGTCCTCCGGTGGTTATTATTGAGCCGCCTCTGTCTTCTCTGTTTCCCAGCTAAATGCCATAGGGCACACGTTTTTATGCCGAGTTACAGGTGTGCAAGAGACTTCTTGTCTTGTCTCTTTCACCCCCCCCCCCCCCCCCTCCATATGCATGCAGAGGAGATGTAGTTTATTCCCAGATAGAACTGCGCAGGAAAGCGGCTTCAGGGTAACCATGGGGATTTTGCCCCCCGTCCACCAGCTCTGTTCCTCAATGCCGTTAATGCATGCTGAACTACCACCCATTCATGTCCCCACACACCACCTTTTAATCCAGAAAGAAAGGCGGGGGAAGGGGGTGTATAGAAGAAAGGGGTCCCGTGCAGCATGAGGAATTACAAGCTTGCATGTAGTTGGGCACAAGCTGTCATTTGCAAGGAATGTTCAGCACCCTTTCGTGTCCCCCCCCCTCCCCCCCTGTGAGGATGACTAAGGGGTTTTCTGGCTGCAATACAGGATGATGCAAGTCACAGGGGACGCTGAACCAGGGATGACGAAGCTTCCCATTTGTCATGCAGAACCCAGCGGGGTAACAACAGCAACCTGATGCTACTGAGAATGGCTGTTGCTAGAAAAGGACCAGCCGAGCCGCGGTAGATCACTGGTACCACGTGTTGTTCTGTCGAAGATGCAGAATTCCGTTCTGAGGGTTGTGCTCGGAGGTCTTCTTGTCACGCATTGTCACACAAATATTCTGGTAAAGATGTATTTGTTTCATTGCGACAGATTGTGCCTAGAGGTTTGCATAGTGTAAGTGTGCTCGTTGTTTTTGTAGTGCAAATATCTCAGTTATTCAATTTGAGAGATGCTTTATTTCTTATCAGTCACATTTATTTGATGGACCAGACATTTGCTCTGCATTTAGCGTTGCCAACACGCTCCCCATTTAACCACGGGGAGACATGTTCGATATTTTCACACCAAAACTATTCAGACTTCCGAGCGAATCTCTACAAAATGTTTGCTTTTTGTCAAAGATAACACCACCTTACTACAGTCAGACGGATGGCTCTTGCAAATGCAGAGCCGGTTGGTTGTGGAGAAAATAACCGTCCAAGTTACCATTGGAGGAAAATGCATTCAGTCAACAATAAGTATTCAGTGTCAGAGCAGCTCCTGATTTTGTGAAGTGTTTTGGGTTCTGAGTTTACAGCGATGAGTGGGATCACATCTGCAGTGTGGCTGTGATAGCCGGAGGGAGACTCTGGTGAACAGACACATTGATTACTCAAGAAGTAGAACAACAAGCAGCCCAGAAAAAAAGCCAGAGCGGATGTTTGATCTTTTTGGACTGCACCCTCGCTGTCTGTGTGAAAATGACAATATTTTCTGGCAGTTTGGGATCATTTTACACATTAATTTATGTATTTTACTGAAAGTCTCCCTCCAATGCCTGACACTTGTTCTCAAGCCCAACTTGTCATTCAGCTGACATTCACTAGCTACAACCAACATCCTTTTTTAAAATATAATTTCCCACAGAAATGTCATAATTTAAATGAAAACTGGTGTAATTTAGGCAATTCAGGGGAAAAGTTCTGTACCAAGGAGATTATTCTTGCAAATTGGATCCTATAGCAAGAATCGGTCAGTTTTTTGGAAAAAGACCATTTAGAAGACTGAGTTATCGGTTGCAGTCAATTTCTGTAATTTAAAGCCGACTACGGGGAGGTTGTGGTACATTGGTATTCTCCACGGGTCTCCGTTTCCGTGGATCAGGGCATAGCTACCCCGCTGTGTTTTCTCTTGGGCAAAGTGTTGGTTTGATGTCACGCTTTGGCTCGCTGATGGGGGGGGGCACATAAAGGAGGCCCTGTGTGACCTACCTTTGCTGCTGTTTGAAATCAGAGCCCTGCTCCTCCGCTGCATACTGAAATACGGTGGTCTGCCGATGTTTGTATGCGGAGGGTTTAAAGGCAGGAAACCGCTCTGATGTGTTATGTGTTATCTAACTTTCAAATCAACAGGGACACATCCGGTCGAAAAAAGGTTAAAATACCACAAACCTCCCCCAGTTGACTACTCGCACTATATGTTTTGTAGAACACGTTTTACAAAATGAACAGAAAACTACAGATGCAAAAAAAAACAACCAAAATGAACACCTAAATTTGTATTTTGTAAAATGAGTCAGAGTGTTAGATGTTATGGAAAGAAAAATTGCCTTCAATCTCAAAATTTCCCTGTGCATTAAAAACACAATTTGCCTGGGGTGCGGCTGCCCTGTGTAGGGTTTGTCTTGTGGTTAAGTCATTACATGTACATCAGTAATGGTGGATGTTAAAAGATGTTCGATTGCGTGGCAGAGATGATGATCATGGATGTGTCACTATCACTACACCATCCAGATGTCACACATGTGGTGCATCTGGATTGTGATCATGCGAGATCACCACATGTGAGTCAAACTGCAATTTTTGCTGTAAAGTCGTCTGTCTTTTCTTTTATTGACATAAATGCAGCCTACATCACCAGATTACAGTATATGATGATGTGTAGAAGCTTCCTTCAGGTCCATTGTGCTGAAAAAACAGTACTGGATTATAAACTAGGAACACTTTAGAATACCTAAACAAATGGTCTCCTCGGTGCAATAAATACACAGCAAAGTGCTGTCACAGAAACAAAACAACAGCTAATAGCCGACGGAAGTTACCATATTACCATCTGTGGCCGCAGCAAAGCCCTTCAGCTTTCTTTGATTCTAATTTACTTAATTAGCATCATGTTGTATTGAAGATGATGTGACCAGAGCGATTGAGACTGAAAACAAATCTTTACTTACTATCGAATAATAAGATGTAGGGTAACTTCTTCATTAAACAGAAGGAGTTGGTCAGTAGATAGAAAATGTTAAAACACTACAACGTCAGCTTCAGTCGACGCAACCAGAGATTTCCTCCTGGTTTGCATCAACCGATTCCTTATGTAATCAGCAACTGAATATTAACGTGCACATCACAGGTTCCTCGGGTCCAAAGCTGTCGCAGGACGTCAGAGAAGCTGGAACCAGCTTGTCCCACTCACTTTAAACTTCGTTCTATCCCTTGACTAACATATTGATGGAGATAGTGGTTGCTCTAACTAATTCATTGCAACAGTGCAACACTCCTGTCTATAAAAAAAACACTGATTCTGAAAAATGGAACAGCCGTCAGACTTTCGGTATCCTTAGGTCACGGCTGCTCTCCTGATTATTAGACATTCTCATTTGGGTGCGTTAGCCGAGCTGAAAGCAACTGTCACTATAACCCGACCTTCGGTGACCGTCACATTTTGTCCTCTTGCCACCCGAGGAAACCGAGTCATTCAGAAATCAGTTTGGAATTGAGATCCGTTTTTGCAAGGGGAATGGCCACCTGGGAACCAACGCCGCTGTGGGTCATCCTGTTATCTTTCTGGCCTTCAGTTAATCTAAACAGCCCCGCTGCGTGTTTATGGCACTCTGTGAGGCTGCGTCTTAACAGCTTCTCAGAGGTGTTGAGGTTGGAGCTCGCAAGACTAATGGAATCTCAGCACCCCGTGGATCTACCCATCAGGCCTCCGTCCACACACTTACCATCTGCTTTCACCGCCCTTCCTCCTGAGACTGTGCGTGTCCGGCCCGCTGGTAGGCACGGGGTGTGGCCCCAATGGGACCGGTTACTGACGGCGCCATCTGCGGCTGCTCGCTCCTTTTCTCAGTATCAATAAATTCTGCTGAGCACAAGCTCAGGCTTCACCTTCCCAGTTTCACACACAACCCACCTGAAAACAAACCACTATGCGTGCATAGCCGGATAAAAATGGGTGCTAGATCTTATCCCAGTTTAAAAGTGAACCACCACATCATCTGTTGGCTCCACTGGATTTCTCCCTTTCAACTTTACCGGGTAGCATCACTCTAACACAACGTGGCGCTTGAAATACACAAAACCAGGCTGAAAATGGAGAACATCTGGAACAAGTGACAGGGGATGAGGGGTTTTATTACGGAGCGGAACTGGTTAGTGGTCGGAGCCAGATGATTTGCCATTCAGTTTTGAGGGGCAAAGAGTCAATTGTCTCCCGGTACGAAACCACACTGGTATTTTTTATTTTTTTTAATTGAATCCATCAACTGAATCCCCCTTTAACACGCGGCAGACTGACGCTGTTCCATCTGTGAATGAGTCGTACAGAGGAGAATCCCCGTGAGGGACCAAGGGGGGCCCGGTAATGAGCTGGGTGCACGGTGTTAATGGAATTGGACTGCGCTTAGAGAAAGTAAAACTCAAGAATTAAAACTGGGAGGGATTTAGAGAGCTTTTGGCAACTTTCTGGACAAGTTTAATTCTTTTGAACGTCTGCCGGGGGCCAGCAGATGGACGCACAGGAAGGCAGACAGAGACGCGGTTCGACCATCAGGCCCTGCTGCTGTCTGCACACCCAGCGGGGCTGGATTAAGGGGAAGGAGGTTGGGGGA